CCCCCCCCCCCTTTCCCCCACGCAATTTCGTTCGGAGTTCCTCTTTTTGCAGCGATTTAATTTTTTTTGTGGGGGCGTGCAGTGGGCTTTTGTGTCGTGGCGCAGGAAAGTGGCTTTTTTCCGTCAGAATTGCTTTCGGATTTCTCGGGCGTATTTTCCATTTTATGCGTCGTATTTCACGTTTATCTCGTCTCCCCGAGTGTTTTTAACGATCTTTCCTCCGCTTCCCTCTTTCGGCGGCGGGGCGTTTCCGAGCGAAAAATGGCTCGCGGGATCCCGAGACCGGTTTTCGGGAACCGGGGTCCGGGAACGGGTTTCCGCGATCCAGATACGAGCGTCGACGAGTCGGGTGCCGACGAGTGTCGACACTCCGCCGGGCGCGGCCGCGTTGCCGAATTTCGGCGCGAGGCGACGAAGAGGCGGAAGGTTCGAAGAACCACGCAACGAGATAAAGAAAAGACGCGGCCCCCGTCAAGGCTAGGCAGGAAAGGTCATCCGTGCGCTTCCCACACGAAGGTGTGGCCCGGGACGACAGGGGGGAGGGGAGGGGAGGGGAGGGGGAGGAGGGTGCTCGGGCCCGCGGAGTCCCGCGGGGTCCCGCGGGACGGGCGGTTCCGAAGAGAGAGGTGGACCGCGGGCCCCCGCGACGGCGGATGGCTCCAACCGCGTGGGCGAGCGGCCAAGGCCACGGAATCCCTTAATTCGTGCGTTCGTGATGTCAGCCGCTCCGAGAAGCGGATCTTCCGACGACGAAGAAGACTCGAGCGTAACGAGACCGTGACGGCGCGACTCCATTCGGCACGGATGACGGATCCCCCGATGACGAGGGAAATCGTCTTCCGAACGATCCGATCGAAAAGTGGGAAATCCTTCCCGACGACCCGGGTCGACTCGACGGGGCGCGACGGGACCCGAGCCCTCCGTCGCCCGAAACGCGACGGACCGTAGCCCTCCGTCGCCCGAAACGCGACGGGACTCCCTCGGGAACGCCGTCGATCGATGGAGAGCGGAATTCGAGCCCAGTGACCGGGTCGAAAACCCCCGGCAGGAAACACGGTGAAACGTGCGTCGAAGGTCCTTTTCCGCGGGGTGACGTCTCAACTCGCCGGGTGCGAAGACCCTTTCCGATTCGCATTTTCCAACCTTTTTATCTTTTTTTTTTTCTCGTTTCAGACTGCCAACCGGAGGAAGAAGGGAGGCGGGTCACGTTTCGTCTTCTCGTGTCGCCCGAAGGTCATCTCCAGTGTGGGGTCAACCGCATCCTCAACTCTCTCACCGTGAGTCGCCGAGTCGATTTCCCACCGATTAAAAAAAAAAAATGTTTTCAAACATTTGTCGTCGGTGTGGATGTCGGCCGTTCCCATCCGAACATAACCGGCAGTGGCAGATGGATTCCTTCGGGATTTTTTCTTCACTCCGTCGAAACACACGCCTAACGACACTAACGCGAGGAAATACGTGATTAATGGCACCGACGATTCTAACGACTCTAATGCGAAACCCAGAGAACCGGAAAAAGCTAACGACATCATCTCTCTCCCCCCTTGCCCCCCTTGCCCCCCTTGCCCCCCTTGCCCCCTCCTCAGGGCCAGGTGACGTACTACCACCGCGTCATCGTGGAATGGGAAGACGGGAAGAAGGAACCGATTCTAGTCAAGTGCCGCATGGACGAAGCGGGATACTCCGTGGAGAACGTTCGACTCCGCCGCCAGGCCCTGCCAGACGGATTCCAGGAACCGGAGTGAGTCCGACGACATCTTTCCGCTCTTCCTCCGACTAAAAGTTTTCCGCCGTCTCTCGACAGAGAGCGCGACGGTCGTCGGCGATTCCTCGTCGCCGTTCTTCCATGTCGAACGAGGCGACAGTTAAAAGTTTTTCTTCGAAGCGAATTTCGATCGGTCCTCGGATGACCGACGGAAGTCCATCGGTCGTTCGTCGGATGACCGATGGGCAAGACGATGGAGCACAGGATTCACGACCTCTGGATTCTCGGTAGGGACTCGAGAGGCACGGATATTGTTTGCATCGCAAAGTAAAAAGAAAAATATTGAGAAAAATGAGACGAAACGGTGCCGAAACGCGATAACAGTCGGTATAGACAAAGAAAGGTCTTTTCATCCTCCTGCGTGAAATCTTGGCCATCGGTATGCTATCTCAACCCCTAGTCTCCCCCCCCCCCCATAACAATTCCGTCCGGGTTCATCGTCCGACGGAACAAGAAAAGGTAGGTGGGGTTTGAGAGAGAGAGAGAGACTCGAAGCAGATGAGGTCTATAGCGGTGATATTCCCATTTGCAAACGGAAAAAGCGGACGAAAAGATTTCGGTACCCCCCACGAACGACATTAATGAGGTCCGAACCCGAATCCGATCCCCACGTCCACCACCATTTCTTTCGCCCCCGACACCGATGTCGTTCGTCGCCCAGGGTGATCCAGATCACGGGGAACCTGACCGGCGAGGCCCCCGTCCCCATCCTGAACGTTGGAGTCCGGCAGAACGGGGAACTCATCGACAACGAGCTCACCGTCCGACCCGGCAGCCCGTTGGTCATGGAGGTGAGGGAAACGGGAGAGTCCGTCCGCACGACTTTTGTTTTTTTGTTTTGTTTTTTTTTGCGGTCGGGGGTTTTTCACGTCGTCGATTCGGTCGATCGGTTTTTCAGATATACCTGGACGAATTGAGCTCGCCGACGTATGGGATCCTCATGAATCAGCTCATGGTCACCGACACCAGGGATAAAGAGGAAGTCATCGTTCTCAACGGGTGAGCGTTTCGTCTCCCCTCGAAATGCCGAAATTTCCGCAAAAAAAAATATCCCCGTGTTTCGAGCGCGGAAAGAAACGAGTGAAACGGTGTGGTCCGCCCCTAGGTGCTCGGTGGACACGTACCTCTTCGAGAATTTCAAGACGGAGGAAGGAGATTTCTTGTCGGCCAGGTTCCGCGCTTTCAAGTTCCCCGAGACGACCTACGTCCAGTTCGAGGGCGTCGTCGACGTCTGCCTTCAGGCCTGCCAGGGGGTAAATAGCGAGAAATAGAGAAGGAAAAAAGAACGATTAAAATAAGGTTAAAGGAGGAAGACAGGAAAGAAAGAAATAAAATACACGAATGATTAAATTTTGTACTGGAAATTATATTTCAAATTGATAAATAATCCAGGAAATGCGGTAAAAGTGAATAAAAATGACAAATATGGAGTAAACTCCTTCGACGGCCGTTACCGGACGTTTCCTCCGGATCTCGCAGACGCTGTGCAGCAACCGAGAGATCGGCTACGGAAGGAGGAAGAGAGCCGTGATGGAGGATGGCAAGAACGGAGGGCCGGAGCATTCCAATTACATCTACCAGGTGACGATGAGCACCGTCATCAAGGTGGACTACGACAACGGCATGGCGCTTAACAAAGGTGAGGGTTCCGAGAGGGACTCGCGGGTGTCGCGGTCGCGGGCGGATTCGAGGATGTTCTCGAGGCGATCGTCGGACGAGAGACGAAGGGGTTCGTCGTCCCGTGCTGCTGCTTCGCGTTCCCGCGTCTACGTCTGGCATTTGCAGAAACAGTCGGTGCGGGAATCTGGGACGGGGTGGGGTTGCCGAGCGGGATCCCGTCGCTTCCTGCTCCCCCCGATTCCATCGCTTCGGTCGATTCGTTGCCCAACGGCTTCTTGCGGACGTGGATGGGTTCGTCGCCTGGGGTGGCCCGAGAGAATTCCACTTTTCAGCCTCTTTTTCCCTTTTTCCAACGAAACCGGTAGGATCTCGGCTTTCTTATCGAGCCGGGGGGAGAGAGAGAAGGAAACGAAACCGGGGTTTGGGAACCCTAATGTGAAAAGAGAGAGTGCAGAGGCAAAGAGCTACGAGGAAACGGACGCGGCAGCCTCCCGAGTACACCCGGAACGAAGCCCAAGTACTATCAAGTACTATTATCGGCAAGAACTATTCGGATCGTAAAAAAGGGTTGCTTCGATACCGGGTGACGCAGAAAATGCCCCTTTTTCACGCTTTCTGAAACCGTTCACAGAAACGACGCCACCTTTCGCGTCCTAGAGGCTGTTTGAAAAGTGCCAGCACCGTCGTGTCTTTTCGGTACGATTGGATCGAGGGAAAGGGTCAGTCGGAAAAGAGTCCAACCGGTCCTTTTGCATATCCTACGAGCAGGTTGCCTAACGGATGAGGGTGATGTCGTCGCACGAAACGAGAATGAGAAACGAGCAGGACCGAGTCCGGTCCAGTCGCGAACCTTTCCTTTCACTACGTCGTCGTGGATTGCACGGGTCAAATGATGAGGAATGCGAAGAAAGGGGAAGGAGGGAGGGTGGGCGGTTGGGGGGAAGGGGGGAGGGACCGTCCACTACTAAGTTTTATGTTTTACCAAAGTTTCCAACTGCTGAATTTATCATTATAACGAAGTTTTTATTTGTGCAGAGGGCTTTTCGTTTCTCATCTCATACCGTATCCTGTTTTTTTTTTTTTTTTTTTTTCATAGGGTCTCTGGAGGGCCTGTACAGGGCGGCCCAGAAGTCGCCTCCACCCGGGAACGAGTCGTTCCCGGGAACCGTCGAGGAGCAGGAAAGACGGGAGATCCGTCTCACCCTCTACGAGGGACCCGAAAAGTCTTCTTCCCCGCCAGCAAGTCTTCCTTTCTCCCTCCTCTCCCTCCTCTCCCTCCTCTCCCTCCTACCACGGATGCTCCTCTAGATCTCTCCTCTCGCCTCGTCTCCGTCTTTCCCGGCAGCAAGAGGCACGAGCGACCGGAAACGAGACGCGAGCAAAAGACGGCAAGGAGTGAAGGAGGCTCCTCATGTGATCATTCCTTTTCCCTTCCTCGACTTTTGAGTAGAAACGAGAAACTTTGCTTGTTGGAAAGCAATTAACATTGTGATACGACCTCCAGTCTCACCCGAATGCATGCAACCTCACCTTCGTCCTCTTCCCTTTCGGCAGCAATAAAAAGTGGAGAAAAAAAGTCTGAATCGCAGAGCTAACGGACTCTGGAACTGTGATCGGATCGCCCATCGAAGTGCTTCCCACCCCCCAATATTTCTTTCTTTTTTTTTTTTACTATATAGATTTCTTCCCAGGCAGCTATACTTGTGATCTAACGGCTCTATTTATTGTCACGATCTACCAGTGTGCAAGCGGCTTTTACTCAGAACGCATGAATGACGGAATAAACGAAAGCATGAATGGCTTCATCACGGTGCTGACCATGTGGCTGTCCATGTGAGCTGTTCAAATAAATGGAAACTCATGCGATACGTTTCATTTCGTTTGAAAAACCTCCTCCAACCGCAAAAAAAAACTCTGTGCTAAACGGTGCCACGCTCGTCTGGCAGTGTCTCCAACGTCACAATTCCTTTTAAGGGCAGCCTGAAGGTCTCGACTAGGAAATAAAACAAAGAAACAATGCCCGAGACGGAAGAAAAGCTTCCATAATGTTTGACAGATGCAAGAACCGTCTCCCGATTCAGAGCCGATGCGACCTATGCGCAGGAACGGCTTGCCCTCCACCCTCGGTGACGTCACAGTCCACACAGCCAATGGCGTGCAGCCAGCACTTGCTAAACCTCCATCCCTCCCACTTCCATCACCAGTTCGGACACGTGTGGGTGACTCATTTACGGTCGTGAATCATCATGCAGACGCCTCCCGCTAATCACTGTTATTTTTAATGGGACAATGGCTGAGTGGGTATAACATAGAGAGAGGCCACGTTGTGAATCCGACAAGATGAATTTGGTGTCTCATGAAGGAGCAACACGGAAGTAAACGCGATTAAACTGCAGAAAAGTAATTCATTTGGAGGGAACTTACAATATTTATTTCATTATATTTTATTTTGATAATTATTTTATAAGTACAAAATAACATGTTTCATCATTTCATCTTCCTCAGCTGTTTGTTCTTTTAAACGAGGGATCGTCGTGCGATGCAATGCAAAGTTCAAGATCACGCGTTACGATGATGAATCTCTCTAATTCATCGCGTGAGTCAGCGAAAAAAAACGAGGAAATGACCTTTGAGAGCAACACCGTCGATCTCGACAGAGCCCAGGGTGAAGGTCCGACATACATAATGCAACGGGCACGATGTCTCCATACAAAAGGCATGATTCCATGATTGCATGGATTGCCTTTAGGCGTATGCTCATTTTTGAAGATGAAGAAATATACGTTTTGTGTTGGTTGACCCGAACGAATGTTAGTTGTCATATTTATTTTGGAAATGATGGCGGTTCCTCGAGTTTCGGAAATGTTGCTCCGGCCGAGAATCCATCCGCAGCGTCAACTCTCCACATTTGCATTTTCGAAAGCGGAAAATCCTCAGGTCATGAGAGAATAAGGCCGAGTTCATACTCGCGCTGTACAGCATGCTGGATGCTGCAACTGCATTCTGTCCAATGCAACGTGACCGTGCTGGATTGGATTCTGCCGTTGCTGTACATGCTGTACAACACGATTATGAACTCGGCCTAAACCTGAGGCATTTCGACCCTAGATTCGTCTTTTACGTTTTCTATGGAGTTGATTTCGTGTCGATCGGTACAGACTGAAACGGTGCCGAACGACCTCTTCGAATGAACATCTCTTGCACGATCTGAACACCCAAGCGCCCTATGACATGAACTTAATCGTTTCTTCGCCTACTTCGTTGAATGAGAAATGAATTGGGCTCGACCCATCAGTTTTAAGCTCGATGCGTAGCGTTATGGCCATCATCGACCGAAACGTTAATCCTGTGTGAGGTCAAAAAGCTTCACAAAACGCTTCAGTGGGCAATTAGCGCAGTGCGAGTTTCCTCGACTTTCTTCTCTGCGCAAGAGCTCAGAGGTGAGCCTCGATCGGTGCCAAACGGGATCGCTCTACTTCACGTCTCGGGTATGACACGTGTGGCGTGACGTCACAGTGACGTCACGAGCCCTCAGCCAATAGCGTGCAGCCAGCTCTAAGAACGCTCCCACTCTCCTCCAGTTCAAGCCCGTGAGGGGAAGAGCGAGGACGCGAATCGGCAGTCGTGGACGATGGGATGCAGGCCCTTCACGTCCAAGACGAAGGAGAAGGTGATTAAAGCGTGCAGGAACGAGTGTTTCTACTGTCATGCGCCGCTCCATGAGAAGAACAGGGAGATCGACCACGTCGTGAATAGGACAAGGTGAGTTCGTGAGATCGTTGCAAAAAATTGAATGCCTTGGAAGTCGATGACCGGAGGGGACGATGCCGACCTAATCACTTTTTCGTAGCGTTCGGCATTCCAGCAATTATTATGGTTCAAGGTATCCATTTAAGTCGATATTTAATGGAATTTTTTAAATGTGCTTTTAGATGGTGTAAGTTCCATTTTTCTGCATATTTTCTGTCTTGTTGAATTTCTTCTAGCGGCTACGATCATGCAATCGCCTTGATGTCGTGGCGCTTTGGGCTTTCGTGTTTTCGCTAGCAATGGAAGAATTTGCTGCGTGGAATGCGGAATCGAATCAATGAAGGAAAATAGTGCATCTTTTTCGTGTCCTCCCCAGGGCCGGTTGCAGCAACGAGGCCAAAAATGGAGTTGCCAGCTGCAGAGACTGCAACAGACGAAAGGGCATCCGCACGGCCTACGATTTCCAAGTGAACGTTCTCGGAAAAAATCCCCGCTGCCAGGGATTCACGAGAGAAGGACACAGATGTCAGCAAGGAGTGGCTCGAGGAAATCGCAAATACTGCAAAGACCATTCCGATGCACAAAAGCGTCAGAAAACGCAGAACGCCCTCAAACCCCGTAAGCCCAAACGGTTCGGTACTCCCGAGTCCCTCCCTGCCTATTAAGTAATCGCGTTTGCATTCATCGAGCGTGACTCGTCTCCTCTTCCTCTGTCCTTCCTGCCTCCGGGTAACAGTTCTCCTTTCCCGCCAAAGGGGCCTGACGTCGCTCCTGTCGTCTGCCGAATGGCTCATGAGATGTCGAGAGTCCTATTCCGTCCTGTCCCGAAACTGCCCGATCCCCTCCTTTCAGATATCATTATCATGGTCATTTATCGCTTGAAACGATGCCTTAAATACCTTTAGGACATGAGCAAATGTTGACTGGAACACTTGTTTGCTTCCCGAACGCCTCGATCCACTCCTCCCCTTCCTCCATCTCACGCTTGCTCCCGAACGGCGACCTCACCAGTTCCGTTTCTCTCACTCCCGCCAGACGCCGAAAGGAAAAGGCAGAAGAGTTTCGGCCCGATTCGATCCCTCACCGTCCGTCACCGAAAGCAGATCCGACCCCCGAAGACGAAGCAGCCCCACCCAAGTCGTAACCCCCCCACCAGAACGAAAAAGAAGCAGAACCGTCCCGGCACCTCACCCCGCCGTCGCCCGACCACTCCTCGTCTCCCCTCGTTTCGCCCTTTCGTTTCCTGGTGGAGCTGGTCCAGCTGGTCGCTCGAGTCCGGATTCAACTTCGCATCCGAGTGTACGGGGCTCTTCACCTAGCACCTCGCTTCTCGTCTTCTCGGTACCTCGTAAGTTAAGCTGGAATCTTGTTTTCTGGTCTAAATTGGTTTTATAGGCATGCCAGTCCAACAGGGGATAAATTCTTTTTTTTTTTTAAGAAACGACTCAGCAAACAAGGCTACGTTGGACCAACGACGTTCTGAACGTTTATTCAATGTTAATTCAACGTAGATTCGACCTTATGTGTTTCAAATTGTTTGCTGGGGACCTATCTAATGTCACTATCGGGGATTCTAGGAACGTAAGATGAAAAATGCAAAGCGGCATGAAATTTCGAATCACCGTTCAGAAGAAGCTCTGATATGGAAGAGCCTGTGCTTGCCGGGGAATGTCGAACCGATCTTGAACTTCGACCTGCACCTCACCCAAGTAGCTCCAGGAATCCGTTCGAAGCTGGACCAACATTGGGCACATCGTCTATATGCATCTTGCCATTATTGCCGATATCGACTAATTTTTGGAATCCCAATGCTGCCATTCCATCATGGATCCAATATCGGACCGACGCGATGATCCAAAGTTCCCAAGTTGCCACGTAGAAAGTTTCTTTTGTGGAAATGTTGAAGTTCTCATTATTTAGCAATTATTTCGCAATGAATAAAATCGGACTTTTAATCATTTATTATCCCCATATCCGAGACAGAATGACGGAGCCCAGGCGATAAACAAGCACATATTCCATACGAGAACCCCATGCATGCGTAAGTACGTTGATCTTTCGTGTCCTCTTCTCCGAGGGAAAGGAGGACTTGCACTTGTGGGTTCTTCGGAGATCAGGAAAGAGAGTACTGTTCCCTGAAAAGTGCTAAAATTAGTACATTCAGTACAACAAGTGTTTTCTTTGATCGTCATTGTTAACCCAGCAATTTTTGTGCTACTTGGGTCTCTCCAAACAATTTGAAACAAATAATGCTGAATCGACATTGAATGAACGTTCGGAACCTCGATACAACGTTGGTCCAACCCAGCCTCTTTTGCCGGGGTTTGTGAGCGTTCCAATGAGCGACATCACGATGTTGGCCCGACGTTCAGCCGGTGTTGAATTTCAACGCTCGTCTGAGTAATGCGATGAGCGACATCGAAATATGGACTCGATGCTAGATGCAACGCCACCGCAACAGAATTAAGTTTCATACGACGCTGATTGAATTTTCGTTTGTTTTCTGGGTTCGGATTACAACATATTCTTTTACATTAACTTTACCATCAATAAATTTTAAGTAGGAAATTGCCTGAACATTTATTCATCGTCATCAATTAGTTTATATCTAGCTGGGAAATGGATGTAGTACTTTTTCCCTCTGGCATATTCCCCCCATTTCGTGTTTCAAGGCCGCAGATGAAATCGAAGAAAGGTGGGAGTTTTTGCACCGACAGGGAATCGGACTGAGAATTTTCCATCTACTTTCCCAGCCCCTATCCTGGGGCCTACTCCGTTCAACGGACTCAGCCTGCTTGCAATGGGCCATTCCGAAATACTCGTCCTCAGCGACCGGTCGCCTTTGTCGATGGGGTCGTCGTGTTGCCTTTGTCTGTGGGGTCGTCATGTCTCGGTTTACGGTTCCCGACGGACGGAAGGCGTGAATGCCGCTTCGCATTTCACAATTTCACGTTGAACCTCACCTCGCGAAAATCGCCACAATTTTGATGGGAGGAGCGATGGGTTTGCGCGACGTATGAAACAAAGAACTTACGTGATTATTTTGATTTCGTCAATCATGAGAACTCAAATAAATCGGCCATGACACGAACCGCAAACAGAAAACTATTGCATGGAAATGATGTCCCGAACCATGCCTGACCTAACGGGAAAAAATAAAGAAAGAAAGAAACGTTGACACGGCTAAGTACGAAGCCTAAGGCTCAGACTGATATAGCTCAATGGACCTGGTGCGAAAAGCGTTGGATGGCCAGGCCTATGGCCTAGAATAGCATAGCCTCAAGGACCTGGCGCTTTGATGGGTGGATGGCCTAGCCTATGGCATGAAGTGACAGTCTCGTAGGCCTCGCGCGCTGGGGTGACAAACACCACAACTCTCGGGCTCTTTCGAATAAAGTACTGTATATGATGGCTTGGAAAGGCGCAGCCTCGTAGGCCTGGTGCTTTAGGCCGTGGATGGCCTGGCCTATGACCCAGAATGGCATTGCGTCGTAGGCCCGCACGTGGGGGTGACAGCCACGATCACGACTACCACCACAACTTTGGACCTCTTCGAATTAAAGTATTAGATATATATTTATATATACAGTAGCGCTCAAAAGTATTAGCACGATGTGATTTTTTCGGCGTAAATCAACTGAACGCTGAGAAAAAGCGTTCCGACTGGAACACAACATGCGAGACTATTTCAAACTGGTCTTCGTAGTTTGAACACAGAGATCATTTTGATTTTTTAAGTATTTTTTCATCTATTTTCTGTTGGCTTCAACTGTGCACCTGTAATACGAGGTCTGGCAATAAAGCTCCCGGACTGATTTTTTTGTGAGTCTGTCAATATCAAAAACATTATTTTCATTCCTTGGACAGATATATTAGACGGTTGGGCAGTGCTGTGTCAGTTCTCATCTGACACGCACCTTGAATGAGAGTTTGGCTGCCAATGTAGCAACGCAGTGTGAAAGGCGTCTGTCATATTCCCAGAGTGAAGCAATGCTTAATCACTTTTTGTCTCGAACCGGGGAATACAGCTGCAGTAATCCATCAAATGTTGCAGAAGTGTGTTGAAAAGTTCCTTGTTATGCTCCAATAATTTAAAATGACCTTCAAGGTCTTTAGCAAGTAGTGAAGACGCTCAGATCCACCTCAACCCCAACCATCACCAACCATTCACCCTAGGGATGGCTGAACCAATCATTATTTTCAATGTCATTTCTACTGGCTGAAAGCCTTGAAAATTATTCAAGATTCTTGGAGTATGACAAGACAATTCTTGCAAAAATTGATGGATCGCTACAGCTGTATTCCCGGGGTCGAGACAAAATGTGATGAAGCATTGCTTCATGCTGGGAATGTGGCAGACGTCTTACACACTGCGTTGCTACATGGCCAGCCAAACTCCTGCCTGGTTCCGTGGGCCACGAATCATTTCAATGGAGGCAGCTGGGTCTTCCAGCAGGGACTCAGCGCCAGCTGAAAAGGCGCGGATGACCCAGGAGTGGGTGCGGACAAATGTCCCCGACTTCATTTCGACTTCACGATGGTCCCCTTTCTCCCCCGATGTCAACCCCTTATATTTTGTCAATTTGGTTCATCCTGGAGAGCAATGTGTGTGCTACGAAACACCGTTGTCTGGATTCTCTCGAGCTATCCCTGAACCGAGAATGGGAACGAATTCTATAGGAAGACTTGCGAAAATCAGTGGATGGGTCGTCTGAACCTTGTCGTCCGAGTCAGGGGCGGCTATATTGAAAACTATTAAGTGTTTATAAATCAGTTGACTGTCCTTGTTATTGTCAATAAAAATTGTTTCTGGATTTATTTTTTTTGTGCTGACATTATAATCATATTGCGATGGGATACAACTTTCTTAGCACCCTGTAAGAGTCACGGTGATGATGTTTGTTAAGCCAAAATCACCCTTTAAAGCCTCTTTTAAAGCCTCTCGTCGAAAATTGTCCGAAACGAAGGGAAGCCTTCCTATGAAATATGAATTGGCACAGCTCTCGGGTCCATTATTAAAGGTATCGTTCGAAAACGTTGAAAAAATTCCAATGTTGAGCGCACAGTAGATCTAAAAGTTTTTTGGTGCGAACGCATGGCTGCTTGCCGCCGAGGAAGCTCGCCCGACATCGACAGTCGGCTGGGGATCGCCTGCGGTTCGAGGCTTCCTCTGCCTCCCCCGTACGGCCCAAGTGCGATACGCTCCCGATTCACTCTGTGCCTTTGCCTTCGCACCTGTTCTCCGCACTGTCTACATTCCCTTTCCCGTGCCTCGGCTTTATTTTTTTATATAACGGAAAAAGAATGAGATCGAAGCACGCACCGGCAAATACGCGCCTCATTAACAGTTCCCTGTCAACCTGCGAATACTTTTTTCTGCCTGGAAGTTTGTGTAACTAAATCGTTCATCCATTCTCCTCTTCTTTCAAGAGAATTCGGGAAGGCATGAAATGCCAACTTATCTATTCTGCTGTTACGATAGGAAGCCTCACAACCAAAAACCACCCTGGTTTTTCCACTTCCTTCGCCCGTGATTCAATCTAATTGCCCTGATACATGCAGCTTTTCCTGACTAACGACTGGAAATAGCGAGAAGCTAAAAGTGACTACGAGGGAATACTAATGGATGAGAAAGAATAGGCTACACATCGAAAAACTTTCGACGCGTAGATAACGTAAGATATGTCTTCGTGGCAGCGGAATCGGACATGAATTCGTTCAAGGATTCGACCCAGAGCGATCGCTCAACGTAACATTACGTAACAACGTTGATGAGCGCCCGCTAGGTGGAGGATCGACAGCGACATCTACATTGCGACCCTGCCAATGAAAGGATTCGAGCGGAGTGGAAGCCTCTAGTTACAGTTTACTCTCTACTCGATGCCGGAAGCGTCCCCGAGGGCCCCCTTTAATCCTTGTGACGTCACTCTGCATGCGCGCATATTCACGACCTCCTCTATTCCGGGGCTTGGATTAGAGACTATCCACTGCTTCGAAGGAAGCGAGCCATTGAATGCGAAGGTGACCTTCTGCCACCGGCCCAGTAACATCCCGTCTATTGTCCCATTTTTCCTTCTCTTCACAGTGTCATACTTGCCGTGCTTCATACTATGCGTTTCGTCGCTTCTGCCTTTCGTGCATGTGCCGTGATGCTCGTTGATACCCGCTCTTCCTTTCTTCTCGCGTTCCGTTACGTTTTTCCTCGTCGGTAGACACGAGTAGCTTATTGGAAGCGGCCGTAGCGCAGGATTCTCTATCCAGATCGAATGAAAATGTAAACTTTCTAAACGTAACTTTTCGTTTGCTCCTCCATCCTGCCTCCGTCACGTCGAGGGATATCGTTTCCTCTCTCGTCGATAGTGGAAATGTGTCCATCGAAAAGGACCCAGAGGGGAAGCATTTACGATGGTGTTAGGCGTATTCAACAGCCCTATGATGGGGAGATGAAACCCCCGAAACGGAAGGTGCCTGCTCCACCTGGAAGAGACACATTCTGACAGCAATGCAGTGGAACGTGTCTTGCCCTTGCTATAGGGCAGATCCTGACCTGCCCAGAGGTTTCCAGAGGCCCAGGGCAAAAGTAAACCCGAGTCCAATTGGAGGCAACCGTATGGATGGGGATGGCTGGGTGGGCTCTTTTGGGACTTTGGCATCCGGTGTCATAGGAGGCCCCCTAGATACTCATTGATACGCGAGACCCAGACAGTTTGTCCCTGATACCTCCCGCCCCCCCCCCCCCCCTCCCTTTCCATTCCTTCTCGGTGGGCTTTGGCATATTAGCCTTAGTTCCTCTGGAATCCAGCTGAATGGGAGTCTCCGCTGTCCAAGGTTAAGAACTGGGGCGTGTCTTTTTTCCTAGCGGCTCTGCTAGCTCTGCTGAGGCCTCCAGCATCCCATGACGTTATGTTAAGGCTGAGCTGCTCAGCGCTCCTATAGTTCGCTATGTTCCGCTGCCAGCTGCTTGCCCAAGGGTGACGTCATTCGATGACGCGGTCGTGCCTAGCCAACGCATCTTTTTCGCTAGCAGCTGCTAGCGGCTGGAGAAAAAGACACGCCCATGACGATTGACGGCCGCTTTCGTTACATTTATTTTTTTTTTTCGGGGACAGTTCTCCCTCCTTATTCCACAGGTTTTGCGAGTCATAATCTGAACTTCGGATTGAAGATATCACCATCATAGGACTTTCGAATCGGTACATAAATGCGTCAGTTTGCGGATCCGATCGTGATGCCCAAAACCCAGGAACGAAAGAAGGGGACTGCACAGTCTCCTTTCCGAAGGAACGAGAGTTTTCATGACGTCCCGCGAAATCGTGACGTCCCTCGTTCTTTCTCTTGTATGTCATCCATTTCTCCTCCCTCGCCAACTTCATCGTATGTTTTACATGTTATTCCCTCTTACCGTTCGCTTCGGTCTCGGCAATGTTTTTCGTTCGGGTTAACTTCCTTTAAATAAAAAAAATTTTAAAGGCAATTTGGAAAGTTCGCGTAATTAAAAATGTTGGAAGTCAGTCGCCAATTTTTTATTTATTCAAAATCGGTAAATGTAATAATCTAGGTATCCGTTTCATTTTAGAAGTACTCCAGAATGCAATCGATTTTAAACACGCATGAAATATAAGGATTTGTCCACGACGACACCCTCACCGTCTCCGGCCATCAACTTCCTCCTGTATCCCCCATCTTGTTTACAACAGTGTCCTGCAAGAGGTTCGCAAAAGAACTGGGATTTGCATAGCTTTCTTTGCCATCCATCTCCTATCACTTCATCTTTAATGGTACTCCTCGCTACGATGACTGCAACCGTAGCGTTTATCGCTAACTTCCTTCCCGTGTTTCCCTCGAAGCTAATCTGTCATCATTTTCTTCCGACTCTCTTTCCCTATTTCCCCATCGCGCTGCTCCTTTTTCAATGCAGGGCGATGGAAAAGTGACTCGGCACATCAGTAAGCGTCGCTGTGGATTAGTGGATAGGAGAGCGGGCTAATCACGCGAGAGGCCCATGCTCAAATCCGATCAGTGGCTAGCGGTATTTTCCCGGCTGCTTTCAGTCACTACCTGCTCTCCCTTGGGCAGTCTGTGCATTGTGTGAGGGGTGGGGTCCTCGATAGTACCCGCTACAACGGCCCTGGCTGTTCGATGTGCAGCGAGGGAGGACTGGAGACCGGAGCGGGGTCGAAGTTGCCATTGCCTTCTCCGGGCCCCTGAAAGCGGGATCCATACGGGGGTTGTTCTGAAAGTCAAGTGCATGTCATATGTGTCGTGATGTCAGAAGCAGACTTTTCAACTCTCTCTCTCTCTCTTTCTCTTTCGCCATGGACTTGAGAACATTTTTAAATGATCCAGCATATTGGGCAATCGGTTTTGCTTGATGGATTGTTGGATGAAATTCAGCTGCTGACACTCCCATGCGTCTTTCCTTCCCCCCCCCCCCTATGTCGTACATTAATGGATAGCGTTAGAAGTTTCCCCTCGTCCCAACAAAGCCGACGAGGAGTCGAGATCTCTCTAATATCTTGGCATCCGTCTCTATATCGGTCACTACACGACGCTAACAGACTACATTTTGAAATTGGAATACCAAACCATAAATAATAGCTGTCATTGGTACGGCATAGGCTTATATAAAAAGGCCCAGACCAATAGACATGTTCGCGATGTCGCATGGACGGGAGGAGAGTACGAAGTGTAGGATGCCAAAAGCGACATTTAACGCGTACGCCTAGCAACCCCGTCTACGCGGCCACGAGCAGCCCCTCTCTCCTATTGTCCACTACAGATCCTTCATCCGCGAGGGCTGGAAGGGAAGTGGATGTACGTGGATGGTACATCCGCGCCGAGTCGCGTCGTCCGGTCGCTATGGATACTGCGGACAGACGGAAGACTCGATGAAAATCAATAGGTTTTGCACAACCTTTTCTGTTGCGAATGAGTAATCAAGACTCGATTGAACACTGTGGAGTGCACTTGGCCAAATTCGCAGAAGAAAAGCATCGAGAAAAACAATACCAGCGAGTGGAGTAGTGCGTCATGGCTGCATGCCCAGCATTCTCACAAAAGACAAAGGAGGAAGCACGAAGAAGATGCGAGAATCGCTGCTACTACTGTGACAAGGAACTGGAGGATGGGAACATAGAAATCGACCACATAATAAATAGGACGAGGTGAGTTCATGAGGTACTACTGCGATCGAGCGAGGTGATGCAAAGGGACTTATTGTCCATAACCGAGATAAACGGGGTCAAATACTTTGAAAAAACAGAATAATACTAATGACTCCTAAGACAGGAAGTAATTATCTATATGGTCGTTTAAGAGCTTGAAACGTTGTAAATGTCATTTATATTGCTCTAAATTATATTACTGTACATAATACTTTCAGCCTACTTCAAATCCTACTAGTATTCTTGTTAGCTGCTTACCTGAACTTCGGCTGGTGGCTCCTAGACAACAGTAGTTTTTCCAATGACTCTTTTACCTCGAAATTAAGTATCCCTTTTGAAAGGAAAATGGCGTCCACATGAGATATTCCCTTCTCTTTCTCCCCTGATTGTGCATCATCCCGTTCCGTGACTGAGTATCGTTGGAAAACTATGTAGAGACAGCTTACAGATGATTCGCATTTTGATCTCATCCTGACTCGGGATGACGGACAGAATTACATTCTACAGGACTTCTTTTCTCCGTAGATCCGGATGCACCAATCATGTAAAAAATGCAGCTGCCAGCTGTAGGAGTTGCAATCAGAAGAAATCTACTAAAACGGCCTATGATTTCTTCGTGAACGTCCTCAAGAAAAAGCCCCGCTGCCAGGGAACCACGACTCGCGATGTATTTTGCAAGAAAAAGGTAGCAATAGACAGTGAGGAAGACACGATATACGGTATACTCTGCAATGACCACAGAAATCAGCCAAGTCAACTCCGTAAGACCAATCGATTTCGTTTCTGGACACTCACTCTATCGGAACCTGTTCCCCGCCTGCCTGTGATGCAATCGTGGTATCCCTCGTGTAACACTGCCTTCCCTCTGCCTGTCTTGCCCGCCTTGCCTCGGGTTCCCAGCCTCCTTTCCTTTTACCCTTGCCTCACTCTTACTGTCGTCTGCTCTTACATTTTCTCTCGGCAAGAGACCTATTTATCCCCGAGCTTGCATCTTTCATCTGCTCTGGACCTCATGCGAGGATCGATTTCTAGCTTTCCTTGTGAGGTGTGGTATCTCCGAGTCTACTGCACTGAAATCCACTCTGAGAACTCTGTTCTGCTTTGAAGCTGGGAACTCACCGGTTTCTTTCATTATTCTGCCCCCACCAGAAGCTGAAACCTCGAGGCAAAGGCAGAGGCCGAGGCCGAGGCCGAGGCCGAGGTCGAGGTCGAGGTCGAGGTCGAGGTCGAGGCCGAGGCCGAGGTCGAGGTCGAGGCCGAGGCCGAGGCCGAGGTCGAGGTCGAGGTCGAGGCCGAGGCCGAGGTCGAGGAGGAGGTCAAGCTGAAGCTCAAGCTCAAGCTGAAGCTCAAGCTCGAGCTCAAGCCTCAAGCTCAAGCTCAAGCTCAAGCTTCCCAAGCAGCATGATAATGTTAATATTATATAAAATTAATGTAATTTATTGTCTATTTTACGCAAGTCTGCAACAACATATTGTGAACATGTTTGCAGAAATGTCACCTGTTATATGCAAACGGCGATATAAAATTGATGCGAATTTTTTAAACATGAAATTGACATTCACGTTTACATCCCAAGCAGTATGTTTACGTAAATATTATATAAAATTGACACCCAAATCGCATGATTTATATAACCTTGATTTTAATATATTGTCCACGTTATCAACATCCACGTGAATTTTTGCAATAAGTAAACCAACAGCTTTTGAAGGGAATTAATGCCACCATGCACATTCGATTCGCCTCTACGTCTTTGAGCTCTAGACCAGTCGTTCTTAACCTTAACCTTAACCTTAACCTTAACCGGCGTCGCGAGCCATGGAGCCCTCTTCCCATATTCATGCGACCCATAAATTTAGAAGAATCCAAAAGTAGTGCAACCGTGTGACGCGCAAAAAAAAATGTATATATTGCTCTGGGCACAGATGATTTCTTTATTATTCCTTTTCGGGTTTCCTTACCTCTTCGAGCTTCTCTTTGTACGAACTCGCCTGGTTCATCCTTCGACGTTGAGCGATTTCGATGCGAATGCCGCTTCAATTTTGAAGGCTTGAAGGCGCTGGTGTCGTTCTCTGGTCTGATGGCGAATCGGTTGGAGCGCCTGATCGGTGTCCTGTTCCTGTCATGGCCGTTTCATTTCGTCCTCTTATTTTTAATTTCGATCTCTCGTTTTTCCACTGCCGATGCTTGGAAAATGTCGATGGGGAGCAAACGTGTCGGTTTCTCAATCCTTGCTCCAAGCATAAGAATTTTACTTTATTCTTTCGCAGTCTGCTGAATAAAACGTGACATTTGTTACCGTATTTGTCTTCAAATTTGTTTCTTACTGGCACCGACATGAAATTTAAATCGACTCACGTCGTCAGCGTCTCCGATCGTCCGTGAAGACGCCGAAAGGCTGGACGAAAAGGCGAGAAGAAACGGAGGAACCAACAGCGGAGACGCCCTTCGGAAGTCCACGGCAAACCGGGCCGAATGCAACGCAATTATAAACTTCATGTAAAATACACTAAGGCGTACCGAACATTTTCACTGTCGCTTCAGCCTTCAAGGGGGAGATGGTATGAATCTTGAAAAGTTCAAAGAGACGGAGTCGAATACTGCGGAAAAGCGGGAGTATATTTCCATTTAGAATATTCATGGGACGGGGGAAAAAAATCAGGTTTCTCAAAGCACCCAGTCGTCCTCTATAGGGAATTAGGGAAGGCTTCGTCGATGGACGAGTCCACTCTCCGATCCACCCGGACATAAGGGGTGGTCGGGTGGTGGGAGAGTCCACCGAGTGGAAGGGAAAGGGGGAGGCAGGCAGGGGGATGACGTCACCGAATTCGACCTTGAACGACCACCTTTTTTCCGGGTTTGGAAAAAGCAGCAAGCAGCGAGATTTTCGCTCTTTTGCCGGAACCCTCTTGACGTCACGGTTCTGGCCCCGTTCACCTTCATTTGACCTTGAGACTCAGGTCTCCGCTTGCCCCCCTCCTGTCAGAAGACCTCCCCTCGAAATGGGATGGACTCGCCCACCCGCCCCATTACCTTCAAAAACCCAGTTTCTCGAGATGTCGAACCTCTTTACCCCGTAGCTGCGAGGTAAAGCGTTCGTCTCACAAGTGTAAGACTCAGGTTCGATTCAGAGCTCGGAAATTTCTTTTTTCAATTCTGTTTATCGACTTTCTCGCAGTCTTCAATAGATTCTTCCTGGATATCGAGATCCAATTATCGACGTTACCTCTTCGCAAATAGCCAAATTTAAGCAAAAGCATTTCATTCAAAATTGTCTGGGTCTTCCAATTTCGGTCGTGGGCATTCGACCTTCGCCGAGATTCCAAACTTCAGAAAATGATGAAAGAACCCAAAAGCGGCAGCTTTTATTGTCACCAGAAGAGTAGGGGGCGACGAGGAAAAAAAAAAAGACCAACTCTGCCATTCAAATGGAATAAATCCACTTTCATAATTTTCCCGAATTCCTTCTCGCAAAGGATTTCCGGTTCGCCGTCCAGACGGCGTGCCACAGACACGTTCTTCCTGCATCTCGTCGCGTGAATGAGGCGATCGGTTCCAGAACCGTTTTATTTCAAGTAATGGCAAAGAAAAGGGAGAAACTACCACCAACAACGAGAAACGAAATTTTCCGAGGGCACGACGAGGCGACTGGGAAGGAGGATGCCTTTTCTCGCTTTCCCTTTTCTGCTGAAAAAAAAATCATAAGAAAAAAGTCTGGAATAGACTAAATTATTTTCGGTGGAGTGAGGGATTCATTCTCTGTGGAATGGAAACTTGAAAGCCTTTTCTCTTGTTTGAACGATGTGAAAATTTCAGATTCCATCCACCATGAGTCTTTTTGTCAAAAACCTCCGACAATGCCAGTGATTTCAGATACATTTTAGCTAAACTCTTGTCGTACGGGATATATTTTCTAGATGAGTTTTCTGCGATAAAAATTTGTATTTGTCTTTGGCTATATTCTGTATTTTCGCTATTCAAGAATGTGAAATACCGGCACTTAGGTTTTTTTTTCTGGCGAAGTTACTTTGATTCGTCAGCAGGGGGAATTCGTTGTTTTGAATATTGTCATCTCGAAATCCCGCTCACCTCGAGGTTCATCTCTCGGTTCCTGCAGAATCGCAACGAAGATCGTGCCAAACGTTCAAGACGCGCCAATGACGCCGAGTATTCACCGGTTACGTGGGGATCGAGGTCGGATGGCCCAGGGCCGACAGGCGACCCGGGTATGTGGGGAAGGATCTGCTCGGGGTGACACGCGAGCCATGCGCCACGTCTGGGATGTACGGGAGCAGTACGCCTTTCAAATTCCAATCAGTCCTCGGCAACCCGTGTGCTGCCCCGAGGGCACTGTTGTTGCAGATCGGCCGTTCGCTTCCTGGATGTCCCCATACTCTGACGAAAGTCGCGTCTGATTGATTCTTAGATGCGATGCGAACGCCGATAAATACATCTTGCGGTAGCAGGGAGGGAGGGAGGTGCGGGGGTGGATCTCGGGAGAATGCGCCTGGAAGCACACCAACTCCATCGCCTTCCCGCAGAGCAGTGACGAGAGAAACCGGTTCCTGTGGAGGTCTTCCACTCGCTGATATCGAAAAGCAGACGCGGTCGATAGCAGCTTCGAGACTATAGTGCAGCTGCCACGTCGTCCAAGTGCGCCGAGTAGCCAACTTTATTTTTCTGAATCTTCCCACACTCAACTGTAACAGGGAAGGGTTAGAGACGTCCATCGCCTCTTAATGAAAGAGTTCGTAAATTCATTTCTATATATAATTTTTTTTAAACAAAAAACGCTCCTCCGTGCCTTCCTGCTTACGTTGACGACCGCAAATGTTCTCTGCGAATTCGAAAACCTTGGAGTTAATAACAAATTCCACCCATTCACAATTGACGTGGTTTTGAATTCAAGTGACATGAGACCTTTTCTTCCCATCTTCCACGGCAAGAATGGAATGAACCTGATTCACTTCTCGATTCCACACCGAAGGCAATCAGGTAAGCGGAAGGCGGTTCCAGATAGGCGAAGAGATAGACAATAAAAAAAATATAATATCAGTCCTATCAACAGATAACTATTGACGCAGAGCGAGAGTACGATGGGCACGAAATCATTTGTGCTCGGAGTGACCATCGGCGTGACCATTGGGGTGGCCATCGGGTTCGCCGCTTGGGCGACCGCCGTAGGAGAGGGTCTCGGGGATCCGCCGCCTCACCAAGAAGGAGCATCGTGTGAGAGATTCTACTCGTCTGATGGATCCTATTCGCTTTGTCGACCTCGACATCGAATGATGAAAATGGTTTTTATTTTTATTTTGCTATTAGTCTGTGGCACTCTTAACGCCTTAGCAGTTTCTAGCAAGTCCTCCCACTTCCATGCAAAATTTGACAAAAATCCAAACTTTTTTTTAAAATACTGTTTATAAACATTCCTCTTATTTTCGCCATGGGGATCGAAAAGTCGATTTTTTTTTATTCCAAAAAAATTGGAGAGAAAACGATTAATCAAGAAAATCTCATCACGCACTCTTGAAACACAATTTGAAGTAGTATTTGCGCTTGTTTTCAGTTGGTGAATTACTTATCGTAGACATGGATCGAAAAAAGAAACAAAGAAAGATGATAAAATCCCAACCCTCCCATGAAAACCAACCCAGATCATCTCAGACTATTCAATCCGAGCCCTCCGAGACAATCCAATCCCAACTATCCCCTGTCATCCAATCCGAGCCCTCCAAGACAAACCAATCCCAACCACCCCCTGTCATCCAATCCGAGCCCTCCAAGACAAACCAATCCCAACCATCCCCTGTCATCCAATCCGAGCCCTCCAAGACAAACCAATCCCAACCATCCCCTGTCATCCAATCCGAGCCCTCCAAGACAAACCAATCCCAACCATCCCCTGTCATCCAATCCGAGCCCTCCAAGGCAGGCCAATCCCAACTATCCCCTTTGATCCAACCCGAACCACCCCAGACATTCCAGTCCCAAGATGATGAGACGGAAGGTAACTTCATGAAGTAATTCCCTTTTTGATCCCCAAATTCTCGAGTTTAAAAATAATGTTCAAGTTCTAACCATTCATAAACTTTTCAATTGCATCAGAACGAAGTCTCCTTCATACTACTCTTCAAGACAAAACTTGCGGAAGGCAAACCACTGAAAACGGATGTGGTCTGAGTGTGTGTGTTATGTGGGGGGGGGGGGGGGGGGGGGGGGGGGGGGGGGTGGGGTGGTTCGGGTTGGATCAAAGGGGATAGTTGGGATTGGCCTGCCTTGGAGGGCTCGGATTGGATGACAGGGGATGGTTGGGATTGGTTTGTCTTGGAGGGCTCGGATTGGATGAGAAGAAGAGAACGTTTTTGAGTTGATTGGTGGCAGTTTGAGGCATACACCTCAGCACATAAGGAATCCACATGTTTAATGTCTTCTGCCTAGTATGATCCCCAAATTGAACATGGTCTCTTGCATCCTTCCGTTCAGTTTTCCCAGTGCTACGTTTATATTTTGAACCTGGAACCAGGAGTCTGGTTTTCTGGGCATGGAATTTCATGTATTACAGCCAGTATCGTAATCGTCCTAATTTATTAACTATATTAGGGTTCCAAACGAAACTTTCGGTCACTTTTTTTATTTTTTTTCCTCCGAGAGAGAAAATCATGACACGACTCCCATCAGGTGCATGACTTTTGACAGATCGAACACCATGGCCTTGTGTTACACTGTAGGCGAGTACGGGGATGTGATCAGACCCAAGGAGATCTGCTGATAACGAACAGAGTGGTAGCTGCATTCGTTTTCTGCATTCGTTTTATACAGAAGGCGATGGATTGTAGGAGAAGCTCGACAGAAACGTCTTTGTCTCTCTTACGGTCTCGGTGACTTCTTTGTAATCGACTCCTCAAAGTTACTCCGGATTCTGAATAGGGATCGGAGGGGCGTTTGTCATGAAAGGTTGACTAGTGCGCATGATTCGTTTTATAAAGATTGGAAAAGTGAAGGGGAACGAGGTGGCAAAAAATGCCAAAATGATATACGAGAACCAAAGCTAACCTGAAATTACTCGAGAATGAGGAAAGGTTGCCTCACGTCGGCAACAGCGATTCACCTCACTCTAAGACTCTACCTGACACGTCCTCACGGACCGGTCGATTGGATTTGTGGAACTCAAGCACTACATCACTGGCGCGATGGAGAGCAAGCGGGATGCCTCGCATGGGGTACGCTAGATGTTACGATGTATCGAGGAGCCTCGAGGTGGGTGGCGCCGCGACACCGAAAACCGGACTGACCCCAAAATTTGCCTCCATGATCGTTACGTCGTACGTAACAGGGCGCGAGGACTTCACAAGAGTTAAACTCAAATTAATGCACTTTCCAGGAAATCGCCCAATCCAGGCATCCTGGACTATATAATGCTGAAGTAACTTCGTCAATTTTCACTTCTAAACGTTCCCGACACCAATATTTGCAGGTTAGCATCACAATATACTTAGCAAACGAGCAATATAAAAAGTAATCACTGGCGCTTGTAATAAAATCGCTACTTTTTTTTAATAGGACACGTTAAACTTCGTACAATTACAAGGGGGAAAACGCATGCAAATGTATGCTACAGAAGGCGTCTTACATCAAGGGTTACGATATACGAGCCACGAATCCCTCAGAAACGTTCGGCCTCAAAAATGAAAAAAAGCCTACTTTCACTAAATTATTGTTCAGACGTTTGCATCTGTCCGTTCATTGACCAGACCTTTCCCCCCCAACCTTGAATGATCGAGTGCTTGTGCCCGCCCACTCAGGTGGTGTGAGTGAAGCAAGCATCCGGGGTTCGAACACGGACAAGCTAAGGCTAATTTGACATCGCACGGAAAAAAGCAGGTTACTTGGGTTCTGCTCTCGGGTGAAGAAATTCATCAAAAACAAGACGACGTTCTTTGGATGGGTTCAGTTTAGAGGTATACCCTCCACAAAATTTTCCTCCCTAAAACCACGTTCCCTTTTATTGCTTCAATTCCCTGAGACCGGTCCCGTCATCCCAAAACACAGAGACAAAACCGGGAATCGAACAAATCCGAGAGCGAAACTTCACTCCAGTTGAGACGTGAGCCACTGCTGGAGGTCGGTGGGTATCGACGGCAGATTCATGAGGTGCTCGGAGATCTCCTCGGGCGACATGAGGGCCTCGTAGAGCCGGTACTCCTTGGGAACGCTCCCCGATCCCATCTCCCCCCTCTCCACCCGCCTCAACAGCTTCAATGTCTGATCGAAACATTTTCAAACTCACCCGTGAGCAAAACCATCGAGCACCATAGGTTAGAATACGAGAGCAAGACGGGGAGACCCACGAGGAGATTCTCAAAGGCCTTGGCAACGACGGCCTTGTCGTGGACGTGAATCGAGGATCCTCTCAGGGCAAATTTCTCGTACTCGTGGAAGAGCATCTCGAAGTTGAACGGCCGGCCGTTGTAGATCTTGCAGAGATGCTTTATCGCGATCACCTGTCACACAATGATATGCCGCATGAGCAATGAGACCGACCTGCAATCTTCCTGTCAGCTCTTGAAAGTAGAAAAATAGCACAGGGCATCACAAAGTCTCATCTCAGAGCTGAGAATGAGCAAGTAACAGCGATTATTCACATCTTTATTTGTTGGAAATGCAAAGTCACTGAAATATCAAAATTAGTCTGCACCTGTCACCAATAAAAACTCATTTACGCTTTTTGTTCTCTTGGAGTTGTAACTTACATCTTTCCTTTTCCCATTTAATAACCTGATGCTGTCAGATAATTTTTATCCATCCAACAGATCCATCATTGCAGAAAAGCAGAAAAGTTTGTATATTTACGCATAATTTGAAATTGGAGTTGGCATTGGAATTGGGAAGGTTCTGAAGGACATATCAACTTCCATGTCGATTCCCCTCTCATGCTTAAGCATCAATATCCATTTCACTGCCTGAGAAATTGAGACGATTTCAATTCTACTTTTCAGTTACGCAACAAAGCAAACTTTGAATCAGGAAAGAACTCACAAGAGAAATTTCAAGAATGGACAGGCCTTGCATGAGAGAGGCACGTTGGTTGTAGAAGAAAAGAGAGGCAGCACGCGTCACATCTTCTTCGGTCACGTATGGATGAGATGCATTCAGGTTGCTAATAACTAGAAACTTCAAAGACATAGAAATACCATCAAGTACACATTTTCATACTACCTTGTCCCGGCACAGAAAAGGAAAAAAAAAATGGTACCAGAAATGCCCTGAGAACGTGGAAGTTGAAGCCCAGGTCACAGAGCCGCCGAAGCACACTCTCGACCGATGGCAGGCGAAGCAACGCGTCCAACCGCAGGTTCCACTCCTTCTGAAACGCAGGATGAGGGAAGGCGTCGGGGAGGGAGGCGATCCGGCGCGTGAGGGCGTGGATGTCGGGGAGGTTCCGCCGCGGAAAGAGGTAGACGTGGCGGTGGGAGAAGCGACTCTTCACCCGCTTCTCCAGACCCTCCAACACGTCCAGACGCGACGACACTCCTATCACGCACATTGGGGTCTGACGAGACACAAGGAGACAAATACATTCCCATTAAGTTTTAACTAATTGCATGCGGCTTCCAGCTACTCCATGCACACTGATGCACAATTAGCATCTCTACTCCAGAGGTGCTCTAGTTCTTCATGGCTATAATTATCTCGGTAACGGAATGGCAACTTCTGGTTACTTGCCGGTAGGACTACCATGCCCTCTAAATGTTACAAATTAAACCTGCTGGACTCAGCAACAACGACTATCCAATAAATATCAGATAGATCATTTTAAATAAGAGGCAGCAGTCTTCTTCTAATAGAGTGCAAGGATTTCTGTTCAGCAAAAAAAAGTGGAATTCTTTAGCAAACTGTTTCCACTCACATATATTATTTTAGGGATAGAGAGACAACAGGATCTACGTGAGGTATACCTGAGAGCTCTGTGCAACGTCGAACAGGTTGTAAAGGAGAGTCTGATTGCGATGGGAGGAGAAAAGCTGGAATTCCTCCAGAACTATCACCATCCCACGCTTCTGGTCGTCGTCCTTCAATCGGCTCAGCAGGTAACGCAGATTCTCTGCAAGATGAAACGAACGCGCTGAATTCCCTGTCCAAGTCTGAACCCGACGGAGAGAAGCGCATGTAACCTGCATGGAGGTCAATGAACAACAACAACGAACCTGCATGAGAGGAGAAGGTTTCGGCTGCAGCCACGTCCTCCAGCCGCAGCCGTCTAGTGATCTCGAGGATGGCGAGCCGGTCGTCCACGTGGATCAGACCGTTCAATTCCACCAGCGTACAAGATTTAATCAACTTTGGCATGTTCTCCATGAGGATACGCCAAGCTCCTTTCCAAAGCTGCAAGAAGCGCATGAAAGCAGAGTTGTCAGAGTTGGGAAAATGAAAAATTCACTCTCAAGAAAAAGAGTAGGAGCAAATAAGAACATACAAATTAGTCAATGAGAAATTACAAACAAGTTAAGAGATCGAGGGAATAAGTCCAAAAACATTTATAGCAGAAAATAATTGACATATGAATGACTTACCTCTTAGAGAAGACAACTAATATTGACATAAGAAAACAGAACATTTGGATGCCCAAAGGCAACCCAAACCCAAGTAGGACAGCATAGAAAATGATCTTAACTTGTCGGTAAATGTGCTAAGTTTTCCCCATGGGCAATCTCTTACCTGATGAGAGCAGACTTAAAAAAATCACGGCTGGTTAGGCTATTCATATCACATTTTTTTTAGCAGCATTCACTCAAAACATTTTTAAATAAAGCATAATAAGATGACTTTTTTTTTTGCTCAGAACTGTGAAAGCAAACAAAATCTTTCATAGAGATATTTCCCTCTATTATTAGTATTAAATATCTCTAGGTATTTAGGTTAATGGCATTGTCTATTATATTGATGTCAGCACTGACGCCAGTCACAGTTCCCTGGATTTGGTTCATCAAGTGTCCAGGGATTTTGTAAATACAACGATTCAAAAAGTTAGTATGGTGCAGGGCTTGACAACACATTACTTACTCCACCATAAACTTTCCAAAACTTTAGGAAGACAACATTGTTGAGGGCAAGAAGGTGGCAATACCAAGGTTCCCTAATAGTGGGTTTTTGAATAGCTAATACAGCAGACAATTGACTAACTCGGAGGCCGTGCAAAGAAAGAGCATGAAACTGAATTTGCATGGCAGAGCACACCAACCACATTATTATGAATTCTTTGTGTGCAGCAGCTGACTTTCAAGCAGGTGGGAACCGTATCGTGGACACAAAAAGATATGCCTAGCCTTGGAAATAGTCTGTAACATTTAAAAAATTAGGTGTGTTCAGATAATTGAAGAAGTGCACCGGCAGTTTTCATAAAATATCTGCAAAGACACTTTACAGCAATTCAAAGAACAATGACTTATCAAATTCTTCATTGGGATGCCACATTGTGAAAGATACTCACACCAGATTGGTTGTTCATACTGTAGATTGATGGAACACGAGAACAAAAAGGCTTACAGCTGTCTTTCCAGAGCCAGGAGGGCCGATGATGAGCAGGGAGTTGCTTTCCTTCCTCTCGACCATGTTGCGAATGAGACAGTACAGGTGCTGGAAGTCATCTTGTGGGAAGTCAGCCTCGGTGAGCCAGTCGCACGACGTCAGGCGACCGCGCACCATCCCTACTGCCTCCCTTACTTCTTCTTCCACCTCCTTCATGTCCACTTTCACTGCCTTCAAATCTATTCTCACTTCTTTCAAATCTACTTTCACCTCCTTCATATCTACTTCCACCTCCTTCCTTTCTTCTTTCACCTCTGGCATTTTTTGTTCAGTCTTACCATGTCACTATCACACTAGTTTGATCTAAAACAGGTGTTAAAACATCGACATTGGCAAGGGCCCCAGATTACATGGCCCCTTGTGGCACAAGGAGTTTCCTTATTGCAAGATATTGACAAATTTGTTTACAATTAAAGGGAAAAATATGCAAGCAAGTTTGAAAACCCATTCACATTTTCCCCTTCACAGATAGGTGAAGAAAAGCTTTGTTAAATGAGCCTATCCCTTTTCTTTCCCCTGTGGAGTTCTTTATATAAGACCCAGTCTAAAGCAAACCAACATTGTATGCATTCTTCAGTGTACTCTAATATGGTAAAAAGCAACATTTTCTAATGTCCAGCACGTGCAGTCTACCCATGCAAAAGAACCAATGCCTGTAACACCAATCAATAGCGCATGCTTGCCAGGCAAGGTAATTTCAGCCAGCAAGCAAATGATTCAAAGTATCCAAAATATGAAATGCCCACCCCTTTCTATGAGTGTTTGGAGTGTTCAACAAGGCATGTCTTCTTATGCCAGATACTGCTCCAAGAGTACAATTCCATTCCTTCATCAACAGGGTCTTCACAACATACAATCACACACTGCAGCAATATTGGTCATGGGTCAAATTCTACCTTGCTTGCATATGAGATGTTGCTTTTTACAGCAGAAAAAATACACACCAACCTTAACTTCAACCAGGAAACAACAACACTAGCAATTGAACAGTCTGCAAATGCTATGATGAAAAACCAATTTCCACACAAACTGAAATCAGTGGTTTTTAAGAGATGTGTTGCTACAGCATCTATATTTTAATGAATTATGCATCTCCAAAGGATTGGGATTATATGGTGAAATCAGCAGCATTCAAAGAGTTTGCAACAGGCTTCCCAATGATAAATCACATGAAAACTCAGACAGAGTAATTGGAATTTTGGGGCTGAACTTATGCAAAATATTCATAAAACTTGTAACTCCAACAAATTTCCATGCTATTGGCAGCAACTGCGATCCCTAAGCCTGTTAAATACCCTATTAAGGACTAATGAGCCCAGCTTTGGTTGCACTTAAAAAATAGAAACTTAAACTTGAAATATGAAGTGAAACCTTGACCCAAAAAAGAAAATTCCCAAAATCTATAACGAAGTTGTTGACCAGGACCATAGGTACCATCAAATGAATCTAAGTGAGAGATTAAAAACATCCATGTTCTTGATTCAATCACTGCATGAAATTGAGTTTAGTCAAAAACTGTATCACCATAGTGAAATCAGAAAATGAGTTCTAGAGAAGATACATTAAAGTGAGGTGGCACTGAACCTCACTTAAAGAGATTAGTCATAGCAAATGTGATGGAGTTAAATTCCATCATGTGAAAGCATTACACTTATCAATATGATAAACTCAATCAGTACACTTCTAGAGGGTAGAGAGTTTGATAATAGGGTTCAATCAGACTCCCAAACTTTTGACATTTAATTTTCAAAATCTGTTTTGGGTGAGAACCATAAGGGTTTAGAGGAGCCTGTTGGCAGTGAAATAAATTACTTATGCCATTCATCATGTTAAGAGAGTTTTTGACCAATAACAGTTGAACTTGTGCATTGATCAAGTCAAATCATAAATGACTTTAATTTCCCTACTTGAGATTAATCCAAAGTAAATTTCTCATTTGCCAATGTGAAGGGACATCTTTGGGCCCATTTTCCTTTGATGGGTCATTTTCCAGAATGCAATTGGGCTAGAGTGGAGAAATGTCAGACGTGATGGTTTCTCATGAACCCCAGCCATGACAAACTTTAGCATAGAAATCCCAGCCAGGTCAGCAAAAAATGATTGAATATGTCTCCCTTGAAATGGCATGACCCAGCAATGTTTTATTGAAGTTTTACAGTAAAAGATATTCATGCTTGGCATGAATTAAAATAATATATACAAAAATTAAGAGCAAGAAGTGGAAAATAATATGAAAAAATAAATACAAAGCATGGAACAAGTGGCATAAGACCACATCCAGGGAGAACCTGAACTCCACTATCCTCCTTTCTAGAGAAAATTGAGGGAAATGCTGAATCTAAAAATGTTTATTCAAACATAGATGCTAAAACACATATAGAGAAAACAACAGACACAAGCATCACTAGGCTGAAGGCAAGTGTGAATTTATTGTTCTGACCTCTTAAGCACAACCAAGGATATGTCCCTTTAACCAATTTGAGATTGTCATCATCCATGCTAATTTTCTCAATCGTGATTGTTGACAAAAAGGCCACCTTTTTCCTTGAAACTGTGCAAGTACAGTCCCTGAATTATTAACTTCACAGATTTCCTGAAAAAGCTGTCTCATCATCCAACACATGTAAAACCAAATCCCAAAAACAACCAGCTGTCAGGACTAAATGCACCGATGTGATCACAGGGAAATTTTGACATCACTGGATATGATAAAAAATATCATTAAAGTTTGGAATAGCATTTTTGATAGTTGGCAAGGCAAAGAATAAGTCTGAACATATTGAAAATTGTATGATCTATAAGAATTAGAATAGATTCTGGTGTCAATTTGAACACTCTTTCAACAGCTCTCACACAACTATCTGAAATCACAATTCACAACAGTAAATGGCACTTGAAAAAGCAATGTAGCTGAATGTGGCAAGATATATGGACGAATGAAAGACAACAATGCCTACGAACACTTTCTCGATCATTAGCAAGTCAATGATTAAAGCTTAGCAGTGGTATGAAAGGTTAGTCACAGGGATGGGAAAAAATAACAAATAAAATTGGAAACATGAGAGGAAGAATTGTGTGAGTCCTCGTTGTGCTCATTTATCCTGGTAGTTATTTCTTCTTGTTGCAGTTATTTGTCCTTGTCATAATCTGCCTGTGGAGGCTCCAGGTCAAACCAATGTGCCACGATCTTTCCTTCCTCCCCCTCTGCCACATTTGACAGTGGGATTCGCAACTGCATAAAAAAAAGACAAATATGTACCACATGCCATGTATCTTTAATAGGTAATAACATTTTTACAATCAGTAAAGCAGGAGTTCAGTAGTTCTTTTCATTCCATTCTAACTCTGCCTCTTCTGTGGGTTTCATATGAAATTGCTATATCATTTCATAGTGCCAGTGAGGAACTGCTGATGAGCCTCTTTACTTAAAGGGAAACCATGCAAAAGATCCCACCTCATGTTGCAACAATGCAAGCACACAATGGGCAGATCAAAGCACTTTCAATTTTATTTGGAAGGGCTTTTTTTATCAGCAACTAGTGCAGTGCTCCTGTGACCTACCACCTCTCATCAGGTCTCAGACTATTGTCCTGGGAGGGAGTCAGAATCTAAGTGCCACTTCCCTTCCTGGAAGGACAGTGACAACGACAAGCAAGGACAGATGGGTGGAGTTCCCTGAATCCCATGGCTTTTCGTGATGTCCCTGTCTGGAGGGATCCCAGGTCAATTATTTGTCCTGAATTCTTTGTTACTATTTTTAGCCATGACCTTCAGCTTTTCTGGCCACTCAGTGTCCAAGTTTTGCCAAAATGTGGAATGGTGTTTAAAACAGAATATATAAACTCAACTTGGAGTCTCCAAGCCAAGAGAGGGGAGTGTTGTGTTCTTTCCTGCTGTTGCTGTCAGGCACTGGCTGGGATCCCTGTTTGTAATTCCAAACCTTGCTATTTCTATGCAGTTGGAGTCAAGGAGCATAAGTGCTAGTTGGAGTTGGACTTTGGTGGATCTGGATGGAGCCAGATTCTGTTTCTTGCTGGTTGGAGCTGGGAGAAATTTTTAGAATTAACAAAAGAGAAAATTTGAGCATGGGCATGTGGATGGTTGGAGTCTGAGCAATCCCCTCTGATTTCGTAGCCTTAGCCGTGTTGTCCATCAATCATGAGACCATGCATGAATAGTGCTGCATCAAGGGAGAGAATATTTTAGTTTGTCTTTTCCTGAGAGTTTCTCATTCATATCTCAGAAGCTAAAACTTTCACATTAGTTAAATTGTGCAGAGATTTTGTTATATTCTTCTTCTCTTCCTCTGCTTGAATCAATACCTTGAAACCCATTTTGTGCTTCATGTAGTATAGAGCAGAATAAACCAAATATGTGTAAAACCCAGTCTGCATATGAATCCTTGCTTAATGGCTATTGATTCTGTATCGACCAATACAGACCACCTCAAAGGAACAAATTCTGGATGTTTTTTTTTGGAATGGTAAGGCAGTTTGCTGGTAGCTCTCAAAGTACCCCCATCATACTCTTAGCACTACCAGCCATGACAGACAACTGCAAATCACACTAGGAATGAAAGAATCTATACCTCAAAGAAGTTACTGCAATAGGGACTCACTTTTGGGGAGCAGTCACATGGTTTGTGGCATATACATCACCCTAATATTACAACAGATGCTGACCATTTCCAGTATGCTTACAATCCACTAACCCCCCATGGAAAGTTGAACACTGTATATAGAATATCCAGTGGATCCTCTCCAGAAATTTTCATTTTTTATTGGCAATGAGTATAGTTAACATATATTGAGCCAGTTTCACATACCCTTTTTAAGCCTAGGTTTCCCACAAAATCACATTAAAAAAAAAACTATGGAAAAATAAAGAACTACATTTGTAGGTAAACTGCTGATTGCATCTGACCTGATAAGCATACTTCATACGACATGCCAAATTTTGCATATGGCAGTATGAGCAAAGATTCCATGCAAGGAACAGGGTTATTAATAAGACACAAATATATATTTTCCAATGCTCTAAGTATGAGTGCGAAACAGATTTTATACCCAATGCAAAGTATGAATCACAAACAGATGCTTCTAAGGAGCATAATGACCAATATCTTTACACACTTTTGCACAAGTGCTATGTTCTATTGCATCATGATAAAAACTGTAAATTTACCAAAAAGCAATTTAGAAAAAGATAAAAAGAGAAAAGCAATTTCAAGATAAAATTGTACTTACCATGCCAAGGATGGGCATCTTGCCAAAGAGCTTTGCCATTTTTCCCTTCTTGGATATGACCTGAAGCTCAAGGGTACGATGTTTGACCTCTGCAGCTGAAAGGGGATACTCAAATGTCTCATCATAAATTGGGAATTGCTCATCCTTCTGATGTCCAGTCTTCAATTTTGATGATCGATCAGGCAGAAGATACAGCTTCACATATGGATCTGGCTTTTCCACCTCATCTTCCATTGGCAGGTTCCTGAGGCAAAACAACAGAGTATCAATAGGCAGTGATAACAGAGTTTCCTTGGATTCCCTATAATGGGATGAGGTCTTACGAGCATCTGTGGATGACCACTACAAGCTTGTTCTTATGAGATGCATATCGAACTGAGACCTGAATCCTTCCCAGGTGGAAATCTCCCTCTTCCTCTCTATGGAAAGATACAAACTTATGTTCACAATCTGTTCAGAAGTGATTGAGTCAGAAAAGATCAAGATGATACCCACACTATATTACGATAACTAGAACCATTCTATGATCACCATTTTCATTTTCTATCATATGAAGAATTTGACAAACATATCTTCCAATAGATGTCTACAAGACTCTTTCACTTCAGCAACACAACAGAACAGTTTCATCAGAATATTACATTATCATGCTCCTGACTCAAGAATAACTCAAATTTCTGAATCAGCGTGTCATTTACTTCTCACATGAAAGGAAAAAACCAAAGCTTTCAATCAAAGACAAAACCTCGATAACATCAGAATCTCCTAATGATTTCACCACTACAAAAGAAGTCCACTACCAAGAAAAATGAATTTAAAATTCAGACAGAAATTTTAAAGGAATTCTTCAAAAGTAATCATTCCTTCACCTGTTCATTTTCAAAGTAAGCCATTCCTACTTATATTTTGGCTCAATTGAGCATACCTAGAAGGACTCCAGTGTTCAAGCTTAGCAGGTAGAATGCCACACACCATGTGACAAAGCTTCATGATATTGCCTATCCATGTTGCACCAGGCCTACCAACTGCTCTATTACTGGCCATTTGAGACAGTGAGACTCTTTCTGAGGGTTTCTCAAGGGCATGTGGCAGACATGTTCAAATCAATCAGCTTGGGATCTCTTAATCAGAATAGTCAACTACTGAATCCAGTCCTCATGGATAATGGCACTTCACATCCTCTCATAACACAAAACATTACACAGCAACTACAAAAACTTCATCAAGGTAACATGCTTCCACAACCTTATTCTTTTGGTCATTACCCACAGTTCAAGACCATAGGTAAGAGTAGGGAAATGAATGCTTTCAAAAAGAGAAATTTTTGCCTACTCAGAAATTAGGCAGCCACAGCCTAAAGTTTTTGCAAAATTGCAGAAGCCCTGGAGATACAGCTGTCATTCTCATTTCTGTATAACCCTTCACTCAAGGAACAGACCCTAAGATACTTAAACTTCTCCACCTGTTCCAGTGGAGCCTCCCCTTAACATGGCAGGTGCACTGCACAGGACTTCCTGAGAGGACCATAGCCTGAGCCTTGGGGATGCCAAGTTATATCTGGCCACAGTACATTCAGAGCCAATCTGGTCAAGCACACTGAAGCTTTTGTCAAGACTGGGCCAAAAGGATAGCATCATTGGCAGATAGAAGTATCTCAACCTCAAAATTACCAATGCTGACCTCCTCAAGGCCCAGGTTGTACCTAAAGTCCCTGTCTATGAAAACAAGGAACAGGAAAGGAGAGAGAACACAAATGTGACAGAGTCCAACATGTGCAGAGGAGGTCAGAATTCGTCCCACTCACAATAACACTATTTTTGCAGTCACTATATAAGCACTGAATGGCTTGCAAAGTTAATCAAATGATTAAAACTTCCTTCATGCAAAGAAAACATGCACTGAATTAAGACCACATGCTATGCAGGCATACAGAATGTAGGCAGAGTATGTATAGTGAAGTATGCATAGTGAAGTAAAGAGAAAAGAAAAGAAAGTGAAAGAGTGGATTACCTGATAAGGACTACCTGGGCCTTCTTCTTTCGTCGGAAGCTCCAGAATCGAGGACTCGCCCTCCTAGATTGTGGGCTTAAGGTACTCAATGATAGCCCATCCCTGCTTGGTGCAACATAGAGTATATACACTAGCTCAGATGCTTCAAGGAAACTATAACAAGCTCCTCAATAAAGGAGATGCAAATTTTTTTGCAAAGTAAGAGGTGGTCAAAGAAAAACAGCAGGCATGCACACATACATGCATGATTCATGCAAAGACCAGGTTACAAAGATGCTGAAATCATGACACTCACCCTTGTTTTCTCCTTAAGACCTCAGTCATTGAGCGATTATCCAAATCAATAGCATGAGTTGCTGGAAGTACAGTTGATGACACCATTTCATCCAGGCTTGGGGGCCCTCGATACTTATGAGACCCTCCTGTCAATTATTAATTTTTTGCCATGAATATTTCATATTCATCAGGATGAGATCCCCTTCCAATAAAATCAGAGCAGACCTTAGGGCTGCTGAGAGATTTAAGTTTTTATCTACTTACGAAGATTCCCAGGTGTAGATGCCCTGTGTGACAGGTTGGGTGAGGGTGGAGGGATGGAGACTGGTTGAGTATCTGATGGCTTCAATGGCTCTGGAATGCCCATTACTTCAACTGTAACAAAAACTCCTCAAGTGCAGAGTTGGTCTTCTCAAGATAAATGCACAGGACAGTCCAAGATAGCCTATTGGAATTGTGGCATACCTTTAGGCATAGTGGGTGAAGGAGGAGGGAGAGATGGAATGGATGTATCATTTGAGATTCCAGCAACATTGTGTTCATCTAGAAAAAGAAAAGCAGGAGGGCTGTCCATGAAACACAAAATAATACATGAATTCTTTACCTTTTGCTATTGGTATTTGCCAATAACTTGCAAACACATTCTGAGCACATGTTTCAAGTATCTTTCCAAAATGTGCATAAATGATGTGTAGCTCTGCAAAAAATGGAAGGAGAGAAGAGGGTTCTCACAAAGGAAAGAAAGTGAAGGAGGAGAAGGAGAGACAGGAGAAGAATGGAGGAGAATATGCTTGGTTCTATGCTCTATTGACTTCAACTTCCTCGTCATGCACTTCAACACTCACTTGAGGCTCAAAAGTCTCAGGCTCATCAGAGAGCTGTGGCTGAGGTCCATGCAAGACAGGAGCAGAGTTGGAAGAGATGTCTAAACTTTGCCTATGTGAGGTCTGCCTTCTGAGCTTTCTACACTTAACACAATTGAGTGTCAAAGTCGATATGGCATGACGAATCACTCTCAGCCTCTTCTTGGTTCGCTGAGTCAGCCACTCTCCAGGACTGCAAGGGGTTGATCTTGACTGAACTTGCTCCTGGTCCTTGTGCCACGTGTAGCCACGAATGCTTTTCTTTTTCTTGGCTTGGTCTTCTGGCATGTGAACTCGGGTACCCCCAATAGCAATGGCTGAATGGGGTGAGGCATTGAAAACCTCCATTCCTAATACTAACTCTTGGAGGCTGATTTTGTAGTAAATACCTAAATGGCTCTTCAAAGCAGCAACCCAAAGAATATTAATGTATGAGACAACTGCATGAAATGCCTTGAAACAGCTTATTGGAAATGCTGAAAATGAGCATGCAGGAACCATTTCAAAGGGACAATGAGGGCTTTTGTAATGGAAGAAAGCAACCAGACCTTCAGGTTTTAGGAACTGAGAATCCTGATAGCCAAATTCAAGTGGGCCAGGCTTCCTCTCCTCCTCGGTTTTGATTTTTGTTGCCTCTCTTGATGTCATCTTCCCATGCTTCAGGAGCTGCAACCAGTAAGAAAATAAATTATTCCATTTGTAATGAGCTGTCTAGCTGTAAGACCTCAAAGCTAAAAAGAAAAAAAGAAAAACAATTTGAAACATGATTATATTGGCAAAATGCATTCAAATTGCTTCCAACAAGTTCTCACAACACTTAACATATGCTTTTCACACAATCCTTTACTGAGAGAATTTCGACTGTTTCCAATTTTTTTCAAGGTCCATGACATCAAGTCATCCTGAACATGAAAATGCCTAGAAAACCCTTCAGGACTTTCTGGGCAGGGTAAGGGAAACACAAGTTATTTTTTGGGTGTGGGGTAGGGCCTTTCTGGGTTACCTCTTTCAAAAGATTCACAAAAGGAACTGCTTTACTGAGCATCCCTCAGCCTACTGATCTTTTCTGAGGTATTGGCAACTAGGGCATCATTAAACTCATGATAGATACCCTCTGTTGTAGGTGAGGAAAAAGATTAATATCATATGGCTATGTTTCCATTAGTACAAAATTTGACCTTGAATTAATTTTTTTTGTCTTTCTATTTGAAAGAGGGAAAGGGATAAATCTCCTATTTCCCCTTTTCAGTCACAGGAAAAGGAGAGTTGTTTATGTGGCAAGAAAATCATCCCATTTCTTGGCTTCTCATTACAACAGGATAACATGGGGAAAATATAGCATGAGTCAGTGAGCAAGATGACCAAGGTGCATAGAAATAATTTGTATACAAACCGATAGACGAAGAGTGAGAGTCACAGCTGAATCAGGCAGGGCATTACTTAGATGGAATTTCTGTTGGAAGAGCTGAAGATGCTCTTCCTTGAGGAGAAGAGGAAGCTGGATTGTAACATTTCCCAGTTGCTTTGCTGACTTGGCATCTTCGATCTGTGAACAGGTTAATTGTGAATAGGTTTCAAAATGCCAAAAAAAAAACTGACAGAGGCAGTAAGTCAAGAGGCAAACCTTGAGGACAAAGTTTTGAGACTCAAGACCCTTGATGAAAAACATGAAGCACTCCTCCCAGACTGGACTGCATGTGCGTAGGCTGACAGCACTCATTTCCTTTTGTGTTCCCACGCTCAAGATGACTTTCGGGTCCGGGTGGTTTGACAGGGCACGACCATCAAGTGGCTTCAAGTTGGGTGAATAACAAATCATGCCTTTACCCTTCTACATAAAAGCTGAGACAGGAAGAAGTGATTAAGACATACAGGAAGAGATTCAGCAGAGTCAAGATAGACGGTGAGGAGTGCCAGGCTGGCTCCCGGTCCTTTGGCATGAACAAGTTTCAGCACACTCTTCTCTTGCTGAGCACATCAGACCATAACAATGAAAAAAAATACATGTTCAACTCATCCTCAACTGAGATCATGTATACTACAAAAATGAAGACTTACCTCAGCCAGATCATGTGGGTCTTCAGAGAGCTCCAACCAGTCTAATACCAGGTGAACTTGCCCGGTCTTGGCCTCTTGGACCCTAACCCACTTCAAACAGAAATGAAATTCATATTCTATCCACTTGGTTATAAATTATAATTTAAAAAATGAAGAATTAGCACCCACAGTGTCTAAGTGGCCACGTTCAGCAATATCAGCTATATCCATTTGGATCCTAAAAAAGAATAATATGTATGCAAATCTTCTCAAACACCTATTTAAAAATACTCCAGAGTAATAAGAAAAAGTCCTTGAGCCTGATATTGATGTAGCTATCATCTTTATACAGCATCCGTTTTATTTATCATTACTGGACACCAAAAACCTGCAAGGTTATATTTAATTTAAATGACAATGGAGCTGCATAAAAAACACTCAAAGGGAATGCCCCTGATGATACACACACTACAAAAAAGAAAATACTGGAATATTCAATGAAACTGACTGCTAAAAATAAAAAAATTTGTAGCATTGCAAAGCAGATAAAAGGAATTGAATGGATACTCTTGAACATCTCAACAGCAACAGCACCCTTTATTCATGTAAAAAACATATCTACTTCATGGCATAAAGAGAAAGGGAAGCCAAAAACTGATGAAGCAGTGCAGTGTAAGCAGATATAAAAGCATGCAGACAGACTCACTTTCCAATTGATTCATCCTTTCCAGCATCATCACGATCTTGTAGGTCAATACCTAGTAAAATTTCCTCCGAATGGATGGAGACCTGATTCAAACAGGCCAGGAAAACAATAAAAGCATGCAAACGGGGGTCATTCAAATATTCACTCTTATGAATGTGAGTCCTACACCATAAACTAAAAACTTGCACACACAAACTATAAATCCTTCAAGGTCACCACGTTAGTAAACAAAACCGAAAGCACGCAAGTTAGGCAAGGTCATATTTCAAGTTTCCACATCACCATGGTCTTCTTAAATTCCATGCTGCATAAATCTCTCAAGATGAGAATTATGCATTCTTATTTAAATTATCAATAATAAAATCTGATTTAAGTAATCAATCATAACATAATCAGGAGAAGGAAATCAAACACTAATCCCAATAAGCTGACATCATTCTTTATACATTTACTTTATTTCTATGATTTTTTCCTTTTTTCATCTTCAATTTTAGGACAGAAGAGCCCACTAGCAAATTGCAAGCATAACCATGCAGAAAGGAGAAATGTGAGACTGCATCAAACGTGAGGAAGTGTCAATAAAGAAAGAAATATAGAGTGAGGGATTATACCTGCCAAGTGCATCATCATTCTGAGACCCTGGGAAACCCGGATCAAAATCCCACAGCTGAAGCTGAACCTTTTGCCCATCAACAGATTCCACATCTGCCTGAGGTACAGAATGTGCAAAAGAGGAAAGAGAAAGAATGACAGGGAGAATACTATGTACACACAAGAGAGTCAAACAATGAAACCATTCCCAAGAAATTGCTGAGTGAGAAAGGGTTAAAAGAGGAAATATTGAGAACAAAAGAAGTGCTGTACATACAAAAACAAGCAGACTTCTAAGTCATTTCCAGTTTATCTTGAATTCCTTGCAATTGCTTTTTACTAAAAAAATACCTAACAAAAAAAATAATTATGGACGTGATATACCAACGGAAAACTGGCTCAACTGAAAAATGATCACTTCCTACTCACATTTTTCCAACAGAGCAAAAATTAATGGAAACAATAGAATATCGACCAACACAAGTTAAAAGAAGTCTGGATAACTAACAGAGAGCAAAAAAAAAGAGACCTTCAGAGCCACAGATAAGAATTCCCATACGTGCATCTCATATATGTCTACCTGCCATACCAACCAGCTTGAATGGTATTATGACATGGTATGATGATACAGACTAGGAAAGGAAGACTTCTGAGCTTTTCAAAAATGCTACCATACAACTTCTTTGAGATTTATTTTTTTAAATTGATATGAGTTATGAAGTCTGCTATTATCAGCATGCAATTGGTATTTCTTTGGTGAATGTTCATCAATGTTCCAGAGGAAAATGTCAAGGACCAAAGAATCAGCATCAAGTCAAACTGGCATGGTGTCTTGCCTTGAAGAATACATTGAGAAAAGACTGAAATCATAACCATGCAACCATTGCCAAGGAATAACTTGCCAATATTACCTCAGGGGAGTGAACACCTCACTTAGAAGTGAAGCAACCACACAACTCCCTTCCTGAGCATATTGGGTCTAGTTTGTCATACAAGACATTCACTTTGACATCCACTTTTCCAATCAGGGTAGGTCAGGGTAGGAAGGATGAGACAGAGTAACATGGAAATTGGGATGGAATGGCATGGGGTATATAATGAACTTTTGAAAGTTAAGAATGAAGAAGGTGAAAAATTATTTAAAATCTTCTATTTCTTTAAATTCTTCTCTTTATAAGCATCTCAAACACTCACCTCGCAGACATAATCCCAAAAAGGATTGACAGTATTGCTGATGACCTTAGTCTTGAACTGATGGGCCCCAACACTGATGACTGCATAGGGATCTGACTTCCCCATACCCAAGATCCCTATGTCCTTCTTTACCAGGTTCTTTGCCTCCACCAAGTGAATTCGAAGTACTCCCTAGAAAATAGACACCCTTACTGCAAGAATTATGAACCTTCACAAAACCCACTCCTAAATATGCGAAAAAACTGAATGCAGACCCAGAAATGAGGAATTTTAGAATAAATCTTGTGGGTCTTTTTTCCCAAAAGTCATACCTTTACAAGGTGAGGGTGAGCAATATCATCATAATCAAATTAGCAGAAGCAAAACAAGAAAGGAATACTTTAATTAGTGTGCACACTGTCTTTCTATTTAATTGTAATAAGCCATTATGTGTTCAAGGTGTTCTTACTGAAGACAACATAAAGCTGTCTCCAACAAAACTCAGTTGTTAATTAATATTGTTTCACTGAGATGCTTTTGAGACATACAGAGGGCTCTTTATCAGAGAAAGTCATGAGGTTAGCCTATTGTGAGTGAGACAGTCAACATAGTAAAAATTACTTATAATTTTTTTAAACTACTACTTCATTATATGAACACAAATAATATGACATTAAATATATTAGCCATGTTTATGAGTAAATTAATAATATATTACTGTAAAATATAAATTAACAATGGACACAATGGATCTGCTGAAACTCACCCGGGGCAAAGGGAGCTTGAGGCTGACTAAGGGGACATCAGGGGCCATGGACATGGAAAATTTGTTAGGGATCACAATGAAGCTGCAAATCTGCTGCATTACCGTAGTTCTTACCAAATCCCTATTGGAAGAAAATAAAAGCTCAAGCTCATTGTTTAGGATCACAAATTATATGATGCACAATATAATACGAAAAAGGGATGTCCATACGAAAAACCAGGGAAATCCAAAACATTGGCAAAGTTGGTCAAATCAAAGTCAAGCTCAGGAGGGTTGAGGAAATAGGCCTGGATTCCACCAATGATAGGATGTGTTTTGACCAAGGGCTTCAGGACCACACGCATGAAACCTCTTAACTGAGGAAAGAAAACACAAACTCTTAATCCTCCAACATAAGATCTGTCCTGGAGGTATCAGATAGAGTCTAGATGACCTGATGGCCTAACCTTCAAATCATTCACACCAATGGTGACTCCTCTAACCATGCATTCAAATTTGCAGTCACCTGCATATCTGTAAATGCAAGAGATGAGAAAGAAGGTGCATATATCAAAGATGATATGATGTCTAATCCTGATATGTTGGGTAATCATAACAGAGTGCACTTACATAACCTCAAGGTCAAATACAATCTCATCCCTGGACAGCATCTGCTTGAAGGACTTGACCCCTCCAATTCTGGGTGGCTGCAAAAAAGAAAGACAGGACAGAATCTATTTAGATTTGTGCAATTTGAATGCATGCAATCAATAAAGAAGGCTAAAATCCCAAAGGGGTAATGTAACTAACCACATTGCCAAGTATGGTCTTGGTGAACCGAAACCCTGGGAGCTTGTATGCTTTCAGGGTTTCCTGAACTTGTGGCTGGATGGATGTCTCAATCATGTCTTTGACATAATGGCCAATAAATGGCCACATTCGGATAATCATTGTGTTTAGCCACTCTGCTCTCTCCACATCTGGGAATAGTACCTGGAATTTCAGATATATATTAAAGTAAAACTGGAAAACTCCCACAGTGAATTGCTCACCTATTCTCTGATGCAAAAAAAAGAAGGCAACAATAGGATTTTTGAAGTAATAAAAAGGAAATAAGAAACATGATGATATACCATGACAGAGTCTAATAGCATGGAAAGCAACAAACCCAGGATGGGAGCTCCTTAAGACAGGTCACAATGAGCTCCTTCTCATCTGTGGTGGCAAGCATCTGTGAGAAATCAAGTCGCTTATGGCGCTGCTGCTTGTTGTAGCGGAGGAGGGCACCAAAGCCAAGGGAGGCAAGGATCCAAGCCGGGCTGAAGTGAAAGCGTCCAAGGCAATATATGATCCCTGAGGACACAAGTCCTCCAAGGAAATGAAACAGCAGCTGCTTAGCCCCCATGTCCCTCCTCCTACCTGTATTACCTAGTCACTGGAGGTTTTCAAAGGGAAAAACAGGCAAAGAGAGGCAGGGTAAGAAGATTTTGAGATAAGCAGGTACACAATGGCACAGGACAGAAAAACTGACATTTGATAAGGAATCATTCTCTACTGCCAGATGTTCACATATGAAATTTTACATCCTAACCACAGTGTTTAAATATAGTAAAAAGTTTTTAAAAAATACACTTGATACTTTTTTTCAATATGAAGTCAGTGGAGAGTGCAGATACCAGCGTGCTCTGAAGAAAGCAGCTGCCACATCCTTCTTCAGTGGTTAACTGGTGCAGAAGAAATTATATGAAAACCAAACTCAGATTTCCCTACTGCATTAAATAGTCCTTGCATGATTTCTTACATGATGATCCCATAGCTGGAAAATGCAACCATAGGATTGCAGGTTTTTTGGAAACTCATTCTTCTTGTGTCAACATGAATATCATATCACTTGTAAATGGGCTTTGTCAAACCAGGCCAAACTTGCAAATATAGAACATATACAATAATATTTGTAATATGATTGCTAGAAGACATGTCATACTAAGGGAAGCTCCATTTGAAAATCACAGAAACGTGATATTTTGGAGGTTCCTTACATATAATATGAAAACTTCACAAATGGATAGTGAGAGAAATTGCAGTGGTTCTGACTTCTTCATAAACAAATAGCAATCAAATCCCTCATTTAAAATATTTATTAAAAAAACAAGGGCTAAAACATAAGCCATCCATCTTTATTCATGGTCCATCACAGATTGCACTCATGAGTTTATAGTTGAAGCTGCAGGAAACAATACAGAAAAAAACCTGTTTCACTGCCATTGTCTTCACTAAATGTACCAAAGGCATAAATAAGAGAGCCTGGACCAAAAATAAAGAAAAATAAAACAACTTCAACAAATTCAACTTAACCCATGCTGCCTGTCCACAGAAACTAACTCATTACAGAGGGTCCTGTGAAGTTTTCAGACTTTCTAGGTTCTTTTGGAAATAACTTCAACTTCCCTGATTAAAATCAAGGACTCCTATGACTTGATTTTTCCACCATTTTTCAGTAGTATATTTGTGATACTACTCTTTAAAAATATTATTTAAGTATTTAGAAAACTCCATGCACAAGATGGCACACGAGTAAGGTGCAACATGCAAGGAAATAGCAAAAGTCCAATCTTCAAAATCAAATTCCTCAAAACTAATCTGTTGCTACTTACTTGGTTATCACAAAGTGGGTCTCAATTTGTATTTTGTATATTTCCTCTACAATTTCCCTTCCCCACTTCTTTTATGAATGACTTATGACATAATTTTCTGAATTCCCAGGCTTTCCCTTGACTATATGAAATTATACCTATTTTCCTGAACATTCCCATTTACCTACTCCACATTTTTTTTTACTTTTCCAAATTTTCAATGCCTCAAGAAACCCTGTTATACCAATGCTGCCATTGCCCATTTTCTAAAATAATCAACGATTCTGCAATGAAGTAATTTCCTCTATGCAGAAAAACAAAATCTCACTCACACTTTCCCATATTCTCCTCATAGAAAGCATAATAGGTTTTACTCGATAAATTTACATTTTGATCAACCTTTAATATAGGCCACAGTTTTCCCCATGGAGGAAGAATGCATGAATAAAGGGAATTGACTCCATTTTTGGAAACCATTAGCTCATACAAAAAGTTACACCAAATGATAGATTCCTTTTATAGGAACAGGAAACACCATCTGCATGTATCACAGACATAATATACAGAGATAATTGTTCAGCAAATTGCCCCATTAGAAAGGAGCATAATAAGAAAAGCTATAAACCTATCAATGAAATGCCAGCCTAAACCAGGATATTCACATAAATCAGGGCCGGATTAAGGGGGGGCAAAGGGGGCTGTTGCCTGGGCCCCACCGAAGGAACTTAAAAATGTTAAAGTATTTGCGTAAAGTGGGGGGAGGGGATGGGGGGTAGCCCCAAGAATCCACTTGCCCCAGGCCTCACCACTTCTTAATCCAGCCCTGACATAAATAAAAATAAATTGAAGCTGCTGAAACAAATTAACCTGATTATGAAGAATGCTTTTGTATCTGTGACTCAATCAGGCCTAGATAGGAGTGCAGTACAGGATAATTATAAAGACCTCAGGCCCATCAAGAGAATCGAGGCATTTATGAATGTCTCAATTCATAAATGAGAACGAATCAATTCAATGTTCATGGAATCATTTGTTGAAGTAATAGGTCTAGTAATAGAGCCATCAAACACTGATAGCAGTTGTGCATTGAAACTCCCTGCAGAAGATGAAGGATTGCATATAATTTTTTTTGACATATTTTCAAAAAGCCAATCAAATCACAAAATAAAATGAAAGTGCTCTCTTTCTTCTTCCAGCCACCAAAGGGAAATAGCAAAGTCAATGGTATGATTTAATGTAATGAATTCTACATGGGAAAAGATATTATCTTTGATATCAGGCATTGGCAAATATTCTTGATATTAGTGAATATCAATTAAAAAAATAAATTTGAAACTTTGATGCATAAATATCTATGAGTTGTGTGTGACAAGATTGTGCAATATGCCACAAGGGAAATATGGCATATCTGTTGACTTAAAGATATTTCACTTTGCTCTTATAAGGATCTGCTGTCGATACCATATTCAACTCCTCAGGCAGACACCTATCAGCATCACAACAGCAGAGCTGGCATAGAAAACTTTGGGACTCTGATATTGGCATATTGAGCAGACAGTTTCCACTATAATTACACCACTAATGCATCCAAACATCTGCTTTCATTACAATTTCAGCATGGGTTTGGATCTCTAAGCTGAGGCATCTCCACTTGGATTGAAAAAAAACTCAGTCGGCAAAATAATGACTCCTGGAAAACAGATAGAATGCTCTTTTGTAGCACCAGGATGGAATTTTATCATATCATTGGCCATTCATACATGGCAATTCAGAGTTTACTTCACCATGGCTGACAGAAACAGAATCCCAGCATTCAAATATGCACTTAAAACAGTATCTCTTTTCAAGTTTTACAAAGAACCAGGGAGTCATGACTTATACAACCTACATTTTAAAATTGTGGTCATCATTACCAATCCTACAGTAGGCTCAGTCCTGCCTCTCCAGAATATCATGCTATGACTTTAAATGATGAAAGCAAATATGTATTCCCACCTAAAGAATAATATGTCAGGCATACTTCAAAGACTTCATGGATAGAACAGAACTGAAGGAACTGTAAATTTCTGGTAAAAGCTTTACTTGGATAGAAAGGAACTGTAAATTTCTGGTGAAACCCTTGCATGGATGAGGAAAGAAGTTCATCTCATCTGAGAAAAGCAATTATCACACTGCCACAGTGGCATACAGCAAGGATGGGAGGAGTCATCTCTGCAAGTGCCTCCTGGAATGAACAACTCGGAAGAGAATGTGCACAATTAAGGGCCACAAGATGAAGAATGCCACACTGGAGGAAGAGAATCCAAAGAAAGGCCACCAGCTCTTTTTCTGCTCCTGAAAAACCAACAAATATAGAGAAAATTATAGTTTTGTACCAGCATAATAAAGCATGAGAGTCTTATAGCTGTTGCACTAATAACATATTAAGCATTGGCTCCAAAATTATCAGCAATGGTTTGTAATTGATACTTTCAAGGGTTTTGTGCACCTTTGACATTTTATATGTAACATGCAATACAACATTGAGCATATTTTCCTCTTGATCCATTATCTCCCATTTTCACCATGGTTTACCCTTTCACACATGGTGTCCTCTATAGTGGATGGATGGTTTTTTAGATATGGTACATATACCTCAAAACTTTTGGTGTATGCAGTCAACTCAAGGGCACATAATCTCTTCAGTGTTGCTTTCTAGCAGTGAAACATGCGACTACTACAGCAGAGTACCTCCTTAAATGTTAAACCAAAAAGGGCATATTTTTCTTTTGTTCAAAAAATTAATATGTGAAAGTGTTAAGTATCTGAGAGAGGCAACTCACATCTGTAGCAGCCAAACATTGCATATCATCCCCTTCCCCAGCCCTTTCAGGACACTTAGGATTCCACTGTGCCAAGTATTGAAACCCCTTAGGATTAAGACATGAAAAAGCAACATAAAAACCACTGCAAGTCATGTTAATAAAGTCAAAATGTTGTTAACCTTACACATTTTTTGGCTTAATTTCAGCTTCTAGGACAAAATGAACAGTACAAGTTTAAGGGTCAACTTATAAAGACAGTACTGGCATCAATTTTTGTCATATTTCATGGAATGACCATCCCAATCATAAGTCATTATTATTTCAAGGAAATAAAACTTAAATGATTTTTCACCTTATCACTGGGTCTTTGGGCTCCAGAGACCAAGACATGATTGGGCGTTGAGTTGAGTGAGTGTGAATCACGTTGCTTGATTAGCCTCTCAATGCGCTCCAGATGTTGGGCATTTGCTTCCAACTGCATAAGGATGTCCTGAAGGCGATTTTTCAATTCCTCACCTGAGCCAAACAGAGACAAGAGATTTCTGTCTTAAAGAGAAATTATTCCATAATACCAGGCAACAGAAATGTCACATGATAAATATAGAGCAATTGTGAGGCAAAGTAAGATTTGGAAATAGCACATTTTCATATATTGAAGAATAAATGGTGAACAATTCATCTCAACTTCCTGAATTCTTTATAGAATTGCAATTACTGGTTCCTTTTGTTTTCTTTCCTCACTCTTGTCCCACATGCTTATCATTCTCTTCAAAACCAGAATGCAAGACTTCAGTAAAATTTCCAATATGGACTACACAGTAAACTTTATACCTGTACTGATCTCCCATTTTGGTGCCAAATCATACGGCTTTCTAGAATGTTTTGCTCCTCTAATACCCCAGAGTCAGAAGTCTGCTGGATTGAAATTTGGATGTGTCAAAAAGCAGGATGGAAAATTTTTCCCCCATGTGAATTGTCAGTGAAAATTATGGAAGACAGAAAAAATGAAATCCGAAACTTAAAAAAACCCAACAAATTAGAGCAAAAAAAGGTCATTTTCAAATTGCTCAAGAAGTTGCAATTAAATGTTATCCTAACACTCTCCAAGTTTTAAAAAACAATTGCTTCATCATCACCCTGTATATCAATTGGATCATAATGGTACCTGCTCCTGGTGTCCTATTAATCAGAAAGGGAGTACGTGCCAGTGGACCTATCTGACTAGTAAATCTACCATAGAAGGCTGAGTAACCTGATTCTGAAGCAATCTCAAAGCAGCACCTCCAACATTAATTAAAATCTCAACCTAGACTAACCAGTCTTGCTGTGAGTGTTACTGCGTGGTCCTGGCACTTGGCGGTCTTGGTAAATCTCAAGTCGAGGGACCTGCAAAGTGAGAAAAGGCACTCATCTGCTGGCTCTTCAAATTGAATCTTCCATCTTACATCAGAAACTTTTTTTCCCACCTGAGTAGCTGTTTGAGTGTCATGGAAATCTTCTGTATCACTGCCACTGTCATAGGTGTAGGGATCTTCCAACATACTGGCTCTCATCTGAGGAGAATCACCTTTGGATTCTCCCTTTGTGTCAGATGTATCATCTGACACACTCCCGTCGTCCTCTCGACTTGCATCTTCAATTATGTCCATGAGGGGGCTCGCCACAGACACAAAGTCTGACACATCCTCTGTCAGTGGCATTGTTTCCACCACCTGCTGGTTTTGGAGAGCAGGAAAGACATCCACTTTAAGTTAATGAAAATACAAAACTATGTCTGCCTTCCTAAAATACATACACAAATTCTTAACTCAATGCTCCTGATGGGAGGTTTTGGTGAATTGCATAGCTTTTATGATAGCATGTTTTCAATTATAACAGTTCTTTGATGCAGTACATCAGAAATGCAAGAAAATAATGAAATAGCCTTTGCATTATCACTACATAAAGTAGGCCTTCTTTAATAAATAAATAAAAATGTTATTAGAGAAAAATAAACTCCTCATAAGAACCTGAATGAGTCTTTCTTTTCTGATATAAAGAGTAATTTTTTTCCCTTGCTGAAACTTGTGGCAGACAAAAAAAGGTCCCAATTGGAGAAAGAAAAAAGTCAAAAGATGCAATTAGATTTGTGCATGCATCTTAGCTCCCAGGCTTCTGCAAAAACAAGCCCATTTCAGCTTCCAGGAAATATTAATGGCACCAAATTTCTGTCCATGCAAATTGTCATCCTCAAATGCAAGGTTCCCAAGCATCTCCATTATAACTGAATGCAGAGAATTGCAAAGGCTGCAGTCAGAATGCATCATCCTTCAGCAGCATGTTTTCCCACCCATGTGTCCCAAATTTAGGCCCAGATAGGGGATGAAAGTCTTTCAATTGGAACCTAAAGGTAGAAAAACACAAATGTTTAGATTAGGAAGTAGGTCTATAAAAAGCAAAAGCTTAGTAGTAGTAAATTGGAACTGACACTCTCACATTAAAAGGCATTTGATGACAAAGCAGAAAGCATAGGTGTTGAACTGGACTTTACAGAGACTACAGAGCAGAAAAACCTGTATGATCACCCATAACATATTCACAAAATGTTGGATTTCTACCAGCTGTTATCAGAAAATATCCAATATCATTTGTGAAAGACTCAAAGGCAACACAGTTGTAGATGCAACCTGCAGAATTCAACAGGAAATTCAGCATTTCTCTTCATCTAAATGCTTGCATAATTCATAATCCCCACAACTTACAGTCTTCATTTCACATCTGCATGCCAATGTTTAAGTTCTTTAAACTAGACATGTGTCCTTGATCAGGCAAGCCCACTAACTGCCTAGTTTCAATTGCAGTTTTCTAAGTGATGGCATACCCCAAAATACAGATTCTTGGATGCCTACCCTTGCATATCAGATAAGACCAGTGCAAGTCCAGAGTGGGTAAGGGTTAGAAATACAGGAGGCACCCCAATTGAGAGAGGAATGCTAAGTCATCACAAAACGTCCAAAATATGTTTAATGACAAAAGACAGGAAGGAGATGAACTTGCAGCATGACAGTGTGCATACCTTTTAGATTCAGCTGCAGCCTAGAGAGCAAGGCAGATATTGGCCATGCTTAAAAGCAAAATCAAAATTAAGACTGATCCGACCTTTTTTTTCACCTTTTTCAATTCTTCCACATATTGAAGCATGGCATCTTCCTTGCTCATGCTACTCATTCCCTTCCATGCATCCCATTTGGCTCGGTTGACGACCTGCCAGAAACTGGGCTGTGGTTTGTTGCAGGGACCTTCAGTGGCCTGCTTGAAAAGGCCATAGAAACGAAGCTGCATGTCAGATGATGGTTGGTAGGGACCTGAAAATTATAACATAGGGTAAAGGCACCAGTTTGTGGATGGGTTAAGGAAGTTTCCCTCTTGAAAATTCCATTACGGTCTTTGGGATTACCAAGAAACCGATTGATTGGTTTTAATGGGAAGCCACCTATCATAGTTTGATGCCCATACCATAAAATAAAATGCTAAAAATATACTTTTCTAACAATAGCTGTTTAAATGGCTAAGTGTTGATTTTCAAGTGGTTCCTATTTGCAGACAGCCTGGTTCCAGTTTGTGGACATCCATGGACCTAGTTTGTAGACACCAGTTTTTGTCAACAATTATGAATGTGCATAGGTCGAATAGAAAAATATGGGCATGAGATACTTACAGCAATTTTATTCCTCTTCAATGATGTCCTGTTAAGACATATCATTGGAAAAATTAAGGAATTCAGGGGTGCTAGGTCTAAAACTAAGAGAAAATGTCCAAGTTCACTCATGCTGATGAGTATGCATAATTTATGTGGTGGCTGACAAGTATGTGCAAAATATGGAGCATTTGAGAAAATAAATTTTCAGCATGCATTTTTTAAAATGACAATAAATGCAAAACTGTCCACAAATAGGCGCCTGTCCACAAACTGGTGCCTTTACCCTATTCAATGTCAATTTCGATCAAGTTTGATACTCTCTAGACTTGCCAGGTGTCCTAGCACTTATTACAAATATTTCTCTGATGGGCAAAACCCTTAGAAGCTAGAGTAGGCACAGTAGTGGCTATTAGTCATCCAACTTTATTCTTTCTAATAGCATTACTAGATCCCCATGTAACGTTAGGCCAAGGTTCAGAATCTCCATCTTACCATCTTTGGGCAGATTCCGGATCACTTTCACAGCCGCGTCGAATTTCTCTTCTAGGCTTGTTTCCTTCATGATGCACAAACAACATCAACCTGAAAGTTTACGAGGAGAAACAATTCAAGGCTGAATGAAACTAAAGCGGCTTCAGATAAACGCTGTAGCTTAGTTTCTCGGGCTAAGGGCAAAAAGTCACCACTAACTTCACAAATAACTTCAGAAAACCTCAAAATGGACCAAAGGAGGGAATCTCGAAAACTGGTGAGAAGTGAGGACTTTGCCGAAGCTGAGTTACTCCTCGATGGGCAGGGCATGAGGGAAGGTATGGCAAGCATGTTATGATCCGAAGGCCGACGAATGGAGTACTCTCTATCGGTGAAATTCAGAGACTGCAGGTTTTTGTCCGGCGTGCCAGATGTCACTTGTTGGCCACGAAGTTTTCGTTCACTCTTGGACCTACCGAAAATTATGGAATTTTCGTTTATTTGTCGCTCTCGGGTAATTTCTTTTTACACAGAATGGCGAACAGTTCAAAAACTTCTCGGAGATCCCTCCAGGGCCGTTCCACCCAAGAGGAGATGTGAAGATCGAAATCCATTTTCTGACTTCATCAAACTTTATTTTCCTTAAAAATAAAAAAGGATATGACGAAGACCCTAAACGAATCGAATTCTTGACCCCCTAGGGTAGTGAATAACGAAGAAAGCACAACTTCCAGAGGATCCGCTTCATCGCATGATTTAAAAAAAAAAGCCACCTTTGTGGAAGGTTTCACCACCTGCAATCGATGAAAGGGCTCTTATGGGGGCTGACTCGATCCAAAAGCAGCTTAACGATAACGGGCGTATTACGAGACACGGAGAGGAAGGGGCAGCGCACTTTGCACAGGCACCACACCCAAATCACGGTCCCTCGGGTGGGAACACCCAAATAGGTAGGAAGCCTAGGGCACCTCAAAGGTTGCCCAAGCCCGTGACTGGCACGAATGATTAGTGTATTGCACCCGCATCTCCACGGCACGCCGAGTGGAGTAACACACGCTGCCATCCCCCCCCCGCCCCCCGTCTCATGTGGGCGATCCCCCGTGAAAGCGGGTGGGATCATAGAGCGTAAATGGGTGGGATGCACCTTGCCGATTCATTCCTTCGTTCGGCTTCGTGGAGGTCGCGTGGGGTCTCGCGAGACCGCTCCGAGCCGAGCCGGGTCATTTTGGCTCGCTCGGTCTCGTTCGAGAGACGATTTATCATTCGGAACGCGTTTTCGTGCGTCCGTGGTGTCAGGGATTTATACTCGGTCGAAACACGAAAATAAATAAAGACGGACACGCCGATCTGTTTCCGACTATTTTCTGCATTAAATTCTGCAAATTCTCCCTCCGCAGCCATATGCAGTAACCGGCACTGTACTGACGTGTACTGATAAGTACCATCAGGTGTAAACCTGCTGGTACTTATCGTGGGTCAGGTGGGTCGGCCACCGCCGACTTAAACCATTACGAACTTTGCAGGCGAATGCAACGTCCGTTGCAAAATTGTTCTCTTTAACAATCTCGGAGAAAGAGAAAGTGAAATGCGTGGTTTTTGCCATGCCATGCAAATCACTTGCCCCCCCCCCCCCATTGTCACTCTTGGTGGGAAATAATCTTTGCACCCACGTTCTTCGCAATTCATGCGTGAGGATGTGGGAACTGTTGGACGCGGGATCGTTGCGAAATGATCGATTCCAGAGGCTGGAATTCCTCCCACAAGAAATGAGTCAGAGGGCAACAAGGCGCGCTTTCTTACTATTCTGCGAAAACGAATGAGTCATAGCGAATCACTTTCAGCATATTTTTTTATGAGGATAATCTGAAAACGCGAGAATCCGAAATCCGAAAGGATTTTGCGTCGCACTGGCGACGGCCCGTCGCCTGTGCATGCGCAGATCGCTGCTACCGGACGCTCCAGTTTATTTTTCTTCCGTCTCGCGGGCTTTCACGGTGCGAGCAAGAGATTATCTCCTGCTCGCCATGGCATGAGTCTTAATGCTGAAATGAGGGGGGTGGGGGGTAATTGCCACTTCACCCTCCCCCTCCCCCCCTTCCCTGTTGGTGTTCAATTAGTCTGAAATGTAAATTGGAATCGTGACTCATCGCCATGAGAGAAGATGATGGGAAAGAACTGGGAATGCTCTCATGTCCGCGAATGGTTGTGGCTTGGATTAATTCATCCTTCTGGTGTGATGGGGGGCTTGGACCCCCTCTGCCCCCCCCCCCCATCTCTCTTGCCCCCTCCGCCAGCCCCTGCTCGGTCCTTATCTTTCAGCCGATCGTAAAGGTCGAGCAGATAAGAGACGATAAGAAGTTCCAAACTCCAGCTGGGAATCCCGGAATTAAAAAAAAAATTGTTATTTACGGCGACCGAGACGGCAGGCAACAACGGCTGATGCCTGCCAACAGTGGCTGCCGCAAGTGTCAAAATCGGCCGTGAAATCACGTTCAGAAATTTTTCGCTCCGAAATCCTCTGGAGTCTCCGTAGCGACAAGCCCAAGGCGAAGAAGGGAAATCCTTGCGATAAACGAGGATCGCGCGAGAGCGAGCAGACGGATGCGGCTGCCTTCTTATCGCAGGGGCCGGCCTTGAGGCGTGCATGTGCCTCCGCGAGGGGCGAAGTTCACTAGGCGGCGACAGGACGTGACAGAATGAATGGAGCGGTAATGGATGGCACCCGCAGTTTTACTTCAGAAAGTGAAAATGCCTCCCGTTTTCGTGTCTTTTCGGACGCTAGGGATTCACTCTTCTTCCTTCGGGGATGGGTGGGGGGGATAGGGCCGGTCAAGCCCTATCACGTCCCATATCCTACTGCTTCTATTGTATCCTTCTGCATGCGCCTATGGGCTCTCCCCGTAGAGCGAATAGCGAATGCTCTCTATCGGCTGCCCCCACCTCCATCCTGGAGGTCGGTGCTGCCCTTGCTCCACGCCTTCATCGACTCCATCCCCTCCATTGCCCCTCATCGGGGAGATGAGATGACCTACGGTTTCGGCGGACATACGATATTTTCACTTCAGACAACGGTTTAAACAGACGTGGGTGTAACCAGAAAATTGAAAGTGGGGGTGGGGTTACTCGAGGGGATGGGGAGTGGGTGCGTTGGGGTATTTATGCCTCATCCGGGTCGTATTGCTGCCCTCTGTCGTTTCATTTCTCGCACATTTGTCTCCATAAGAAGAAAATGTTTTTATCGGGAGGAAGGGGGCCATGGGGGCAGGAGGTCCACCCGTTCATCGAACCGGTTCATCGGCGAAAAGAGTGGACCATGATCGGAGGCAAGTGAAATATGTCTGACAGCTGGAAGCACTGCCGTGTTCAACCTCCAAGGATAAATGACCCTAAATTTAAGCTTCTGCTGCATTTTTGCTTTGGAATTCAATCGAATCCAACATGAAATTCCGTACGCAACAGTACAGCACACTTTCGACTAGTCATTTGTTCTCGTAGACGTTTTCATTAAGTGATGAACTTCGTGAGCCGGAGAGAATTCTTTATTTGCACGGTTTCCATCCATTTTTTTTTTTGTCTGATCTCGCTGTAGAGCTGTGAACACGGACCCACATCAGATTCCTGGTATGCCGAGTTTCCTCAGTCAGTAACAGAACACACCCCCCCTCACTCCCCTCCCCCCCCCGTATGTGACGTTTCACGGGAGGGACGCGTGGTTGGTCCCGACATCGATCACGACGATGCTGATTGGCTGACGGGGAAATGACGTCAAGGAGATTGCAACATGCCACAAGGGCATATCCATAGGATAGGCTAGGCCGGTCGACAACCCAGTTTGGTACGATTCTTCACACAGACAACGCATGGCGCAATTTGGCTCGTGTCCTAAGATTTTGCATCAGTGTGTTTAGCTGAAGAGTCAGAGACAAAAGTGTTCCTGCAAAGCACAAAAGCGTGGGAACACTCGGTAATATTTTCTGACCTTTCCGTTCAAACTGTCACAATAGGCCTATGTTTAACGTAAGGCCTATGATGGACATAATTATATTAACGAAAAGTTCAATGCCGTATTGTAGACGTAGGCCCTGCCTACCACTTTCAAGAACAGCCAAATTGATTTCCAGTTTTGATTTCATGGGCCATCGTTTTGTTTGATGTTTCAGGAGAGGGAAAACTCGAATTTCTGCACAGCACTTGTAGCCCTGCACTTTTCCCCCTAAGATATTGGTGGCCTTATATCCAAGACAAAGAAGAAACTAAGCCTACCTGCACAGCACCTCAACTTCTCCCCTCACAACCAACATTTCCCAGGAGCTTTCTGAGCTCTTTGATTCATTTGAAGTGAGTTAGTTATTAATGTTCATCCTTGTGTTCTTAGGCTTTGCCTTATGGGTATCCATAGCTTTATGGTGCATGGATGAAGGCCAGATGTTGGCCTGTTGCTGGTCAATTAGTTGTAGAAAGTCTTAAGTTCTTATCCTTCATATTTTGATCTGTCTCCTACAGGAATGGCCTTACTTAAGCAAACCCGAAACTCCAGCATGGCAAGAAACCAGGAATTCCACAATGATGATAACTTCTGGAGTGGAGGGCCTCAACAACGTGTTCTGCGTGGGCACGGATGCAATGGAATCTGCAGTACCCTTTTCTCTACATGGACTGCTGGAGTCGGACATCCCTACCATGCTTCCCACGACCTCATGTGGTATGAGTCTCGTGACTTCCTGGAAAAACTGCTCAAGATGAATAATAGTGTGCAGGTAGTAGGTCATAGTTGTGAATTTCTAAATCCACATACTTGATTTCTAACTTTCCCCAGTGCCGACAAGCGACTTGAAACCAGATTCATCCCTTGATGCTTCTTCACCCTTCACTTACCTTGAGCCCAATCTGTTCGAGAGCGGAATGCTGTCTGCGACTATTTTTGAGAACTCTGCGGATCACGACGAACCGGAGCTCGCTCTCGGAATGGTCAAGATGGCAGACGTGCACATGACTGAATCACAGAGTTGTGATTTTATGGACTCATTTATGTCAGGAACTCTTATTGACGGTTCGCCAACTTCCGACAAGAGCCCGATCGGCTCGATCATCGATGTGGACAGTGACTCGCCCTCCCAGACGAGTGAAGCTCTATCTGTGTCTGAAGGCACCATGGAGGAATTCACAACTATCAACTTCAGTGCACTTCAAGTGGGAAGCGATACTCCTAAGGAGAAGAATCTGTCAAAGCTCCCACTTTGGTCGTTCAAAGCATCATCTACAGTACCTTCAATGCCAGAGATTCCTCAGCGTAATCCCCTTGGTATGCAAGCCTCCCAGAAGGAAAAGGCAAAGAAGAAGCTTACACTACAAATACCTGAATTTTTGGACAGTGAAGCCATTTCTACACCGGAGGTCATTGAGCTGGGTCTGTCTCTTCAGGAGCAGAACGAACTGCAGGTGAGTTTGAGAGCATTCTTGGTACAGCTGTGTTCATTGCCATCAAATGTTGACTGACTTCATTGGATCTGTTGTAGATAAATGCAGTAGCAAGCCCACAGCTCGCGACGATCACCGTTGCCCCCGGAGGAAAGAGGAGGAGACGGCACGTCGACAGGGCCGATCCCCGCTACTCGGAGATGAGACGAAGGAACAACGTCTCGTCCGCCAGGTGCCGCGAGAACCGCCGTCAGAAGCAGCTCCGGCTCGAGACCGCCTTGAAGGAGCAAGAGGATCGGAGGAAGGACTTGATGAGGGAGAAGGAGAGCCTGGAAAGACAGCTCCAGTGGTTCCGCCCTTTTGTCGTGAAGTTCATCGAGGGTTCTGCCAAGGGACCGATTCAAATGCAGCCACTAATTTTCACCAATGGTGTCGGGCAATTCTTCAGCATTACACACCAGGAAGCATGAAGTAGCTCAAGAACTATTTTAATTGACTTTGGAATTATGTGAATTTTCTATATATATCTTTCCCTTTGTTGAGCTTGGTAGTGAAAAACTTGTGTTTCAGTAAAGTATTCTGAGTTCGGTCATGCTGCTGTCTTTGTTTGCTCAAAAATGCCTTTCCTAAAAATGGGAAAGTGAGATCATGGATAACATTTGCATTCCATGTGCTTAAAATGATATTATCCCACCCTCGTGACCTGAAGATAGAGAAGGGAAACCTGTATGTGAACGACGTTCAGAGTAGCTTGGTATATGGTATTGCCCATATTACATGAGAACCATGAGCAATAATTACCGAAGGTCGCATCCGGACGGGGACATCCTGAGATGATCGGTTTCACCAGGAAAGACCCAGCCCACGAACGAAGACCACAAGCCGACCGAAAAGAAACTCCGACACGAAGGAAAGAGGTTAAAACCGGTCCGCTCCATTCATCCCATCGCTCCCGATCATCCACCCTGCAGTTCCATCCCCCCACTCAGAAGTGCTCGAAAGGCGTCGGAACCGATAGAGAAAGCCTCCGTTTACTCAGCCGTGGGCGGAACGAAAACCGCTCCGACGTCAGAGACGCCCCATCCCGGAAAGCAAACCCTCAGTCACCGCATCAGAGCGCATCTGATCCAATAAACCCGTTGTGACCCCGAACCATGACCTTGGACTCGGGAGGGGCACTCGCTCCCCATTGCCCCCCCCCCCCCCCCCCCCCCCCCCCCCNTACCCCCCACCCCCCCCCCCCCCCCCCCCCCCCCCCCCCCCCCCCCCCCCCCCCCACACGAGGCACCGAGAACGTTCGATCGCCGGCCGGGTTAACGGACAGGCACATGAATCATTTCCCACCTCGGGTCCTTTCCTGAAGGGCACGCGGTTCCGGCTCGCCTTCGAACCGAGCAAAACGTACTGGGTAGTAATTTATTTAGAGGAAATCAATTACGTGGGAAATGACAGCAATTGTGACAGCACTTCGGTGCACTTTCCTTGTCATCGTTCTCATCATCGATTAATCGCAAAATACTCATCCCTTCGACCGATCGCGCTCGAAAGCGAGGCTCCCTCTGGATCCGATCGAGGGATTTCTGCGTTTTCGCCGCGATCGCGAATAAACGAATCGGCGATCCCTTCTCTGATTCCCCCAAACGCCGCGAACCGGATGCGACAGTCGACCGCCCGCCACCGATAGACACTCGAAAGTCCTCGCGCTCGTCAGCCGATCCTCGAACTCTCCCAGAACGAAACGGCCCCCAGGAAATCCCTGTAGCGACCGCCCACGTGACACTCCAGGAATGTCTCTCGCAGAAACAAATCGTTCCTGTGGGAGAAATAGCCGCACAACCGATGAATATTCGATGAAGTATGCTGCCTGTTTGCACGCACGGCACCGCCGCATTTCCCCGCCATCGATTCATTTCCGGATTTCCCTGGCTACGGGGAAAAGCACGACCTCCCTCCACCCTCCATCCTCCACCCTCCGCCCTCGCATTCGTGGTACGTGCCTTCCCCTTTACGGATCCTCCACTGTTCTCCCGAACTAAAGAAAAGTTAGTTCGCACGGACGGGTGAAATCGAGAAAGGCGGATGGAACCAAAAGACAATGGATGGGAAGGGGAGAGGTCGATCGCTGCATGACCCGCCTAGACCGGATGGAAGGATACGGAAAGACGATAGATATGTGGAGGATGAA